GAGGCCGCTTCTCCTTTCCGTTAGAAGGTATGCAATGGATTGCTGTATAATTCCCCCCTGAGAGCCTAACACAGTAGGCTACAGTATAGAGAATTAGGCCTGATAAGGCCTCTATGGATAAATAAGGCCTTAAAATGGCGACCACGCCCAATGACTAAAACAAAATGGCAGCCGCAAGCCTCATCTCCCAAAATGGCGATGCCCCAGGGAGAAAACTTTTCCAACCGTTACTCAGTCCGGATTGATAACAATGAGGGACCTTGGCAGAATTTCTCTTTCCCCTCTTAATTTATAAGACAGAACACTTGCGATTAGTTGCGTAGCCTCCGCTGCGATCCGGATCGAATCCTGGACTTGCTGGAGCCTCGTGGCCACGATGGTGAGAAAACAAGGCCTCCCAGCCAAGCCGCGCTCCGAAGGGACCGGACCATCAAGCCGCGCTCCAAATTGCCGGAAAAAAAACCAGCCTCCGTTTGAGCACAGAACAGCTGCTAAGCACTGTTCCCCAACTCGTTGGAGCTGGCTGCTATCGGCTCACAGAGGCCTAAGAGCCTCTTCTAAATTAAGACTCTAACTGCCACCAAGCACTTGAAAACAAGTGAATCAAAACTGCTGAAATACGAAAAAAAAATATGAAAACAAACCAAAGTCTAAATTCAGTAACTCTATTTTTTAAGAAACAATTAGTTTAAGCTAGTCTAACAGAGGAGCCACCAAAGTTGCATCCTACTGAGCTGAGACTAAGAAAAAACTGGGGAAACGACCGCCCAAGGAGGCGTGGCTGAAGTTTTTTTCTTAGTCTCAACTGAGCAAGAAGGCTGAGATTACCCACTGGTGGATGCTACATCTATCATGCTGGAGAAGATAAAGGTTTGCGATAGTGGTGAACATCTTTAGCTCAGGTGTAGGATGAAGGTGGAGATTCATTCTCTCAGCTTGTGGACTGGTTTATGAACATTTTGTTACCAGGCTAGGTAACATTTAGGGAAAATTCCCCAAATTCTGCTGAAGATGCTACCTAGCCTGGTAAAGAAACGTTCAGAAACCAACCCACAAGTTCAGAAAATGAGCTTCCACCCTCAAAGATAAAGGCACTGGTCTACTAGTGCCAGCTCATACTCATTTGTGAGAGTTGATTGTTACATTTTTAGAACTTTCGAAAGTGAGTTATTAAACACAGTTATTATTAAAAATTAATAATATCCCCCCCACCCTTGATGTACATTTCTCAAACAAACCTCCTTCAAGGCTTGTCAGGCATCAATAGGCAACTGAAATGGGGAAGGTTTGCACGCATACAGACAAAAGCATGTAACACCACATGAACTTGTTACATTGTCAATAAAGCTTAAGAAAAGCAGGGAACAGTCTTCATAATGAAAGGCAAAGCCATTGTAGTTCTGATTGTTATTAACTCTTTTCAACTTTCTCTGATTGGCTCATATTTTCCACGGCGAAACTGAGCAGTGCCTGGCTCTTTTCTGAAATTAGAATTGCTGTCTGCATGTAGAAAATAATTTAACGTAATTCTTGAATGTTGGATTTTTAATCAGTGGAGTTTGAGTTGGGTGTCTTTTGTCTGACCGCCAATTTTTAAGAACTCTTTTCAGCTTTCCAACTTGGCATATTTGCTTAGGTTTGTCTGCAATTTTGAGGCTACAATAACATATGTGCTTGACTAGAACTAAATTCAGAAATCAGCAGGTGGAGATTTATAGAGTACAAAGGTTTATGTGCCAAGGATTATAAGCGTAACTGTTAGATAAGTCAAATAAAAGTTTTGCAGTCAGTGATGTACAATTCCTAGGATAAATCTTTTAATTAACATAAGTGCATTATTAAAATATTTTTCCCATAAACCACAGAGAATGGGGGAATCAGAGACAGCTCTACAAAATATTTAGGAGGGTGAAAATCAGCATGCATTATGAAGGGCTTTTCAAATTGAGTCCTATGCATTAAGAGATTTGAATGGATTCTGAGGAACTAAGAAAAAAAAAAAACTTCAAACACATTCAGCCATCTGCTTGATAACTACTCTTCCTCTCTTACTTGTAAGCAGCAAGCAAGCTTTCACAAGCAGTCCATGCCATTTCTTTGACACATGCAAATGCACGAAAGTTGACTCTTTGCTTGCCCTCAAGCTCTGACAAACATTTGTAAATGTGCAACAACTATCAAAGTGTGTTTCTTCCTCCCTCTTCAGTTTCTACATTATTTGAATGTAGGCATGTACATGTCCTCCGGAGATGTGCTTAATAATCACGGCAGCATCCTCTGCACACCTACTTAGAACTAAGTCCCATTGATCTGTGTGGGAATTAATGAAGAAATGTCAGATTGCATTGCTTGGCTGCTATACATGTATGCCTCAAATCCCTTCAGAGTGGGATATCCACCAGTGTTCATATTCAGAGAATCAGATTTGCAAAGGCAGATAAACAAAGAGAAGATACGTGCCTCTGCCAGGCAGTCAGAATGGAGAAAAAAAAATCCAAATTTAATTTGACTATGTTAATCCATTACTATTGTCTGTGTTATGCTGTATATCATGTTATATGCAACTGTCCATCAACATGTCTAAGAAAGGGATTGTTCTAAGTGATATCTCATATTGTGACTTTCTCGCATAATTTTTCAACTTCACAATATAAAATTGTCATGCCCATCCTGGATATATTTACATCTCTCAGCATATGCACATTGTGTTTATTTTGCTTTTTGATTAGATTTAATAAATATTTATGTATGTGAACATTTTTTCAGACATGGAACATTGACTACAAACTGGTTCCAACCGCATACCATATTGAAGCAGGTGAAAAGAGAAAAAGGGAAACAAAATTCCAGTGCTGTAATTGGGACATCCATTTTTGTGAAATTCAAATAAGTTTAATATATACATTTGCATAAATAAATTCCAAGTACCACAAGTTTTATTTTCCTGCCAATTTGCCATTACTGCTACTTTGTCTCTTCATTGGGATTAAAAAAAAAAAACTTTAAAAATTTAAATAAAAAAAACCTAACAGGTTCCATGGTCAGAACAAGTTTAAAATGACTTCTATAAGTTATAGACATTCTAAAAGAACATCTATTAATGTTGTGAATGAACTATAAAATGGTAGATTAATTAAAAATAGATAAGGATACAAATAAATAATTGTACAATAACATACTTTAATACAGTTAATACAATTAAAGTTACATACAGCCCTATTGATACAATGATCAATTTAATTACTTTGTCATTTTGTCAGTTTAAATATAAATTCATTCAATTGTTATCTAAGCTATTATTTTTCCATCATTTTAAGATTAGACTCAATGTTTTAGTTAGGAGACCAATTAAAAGTCTCCGAACAGACTAACATGTAATATTTTTCAGTTATTTTCTGAAGTGCCATCTATACTTTTCAGCCCATTAATTCTTCTCCCTGCTGCCGCACCTCCCCAAATTTTCTCCTGGCAAAAGTGTCTGAAGACCTGATTCTCCAAGGTTATCTCTCTGGTCATCTACACCTATTCAGCAGTCTTACATCAATGCTGATGACATTGCATTGCCTTCTGATTAGTTCCTGGGTCCAATTCAGGATACTGGTTATTGCCTTAAAGGCCATTTATGATTTGCCTCTGTGTCTTGGACTGGGTTTCCCACCACATATGGCTGCCCCATGTGGTCAGAAGGGAAAGTATTCAGAGCCCCTCTATTCCATGAAAGGTGAGGGAGATTGAGTGTCAGCCCTTTGAGATACTCCAAGAAAGAAGCATGAACTAGCACTACCTTTATTATATGGTTACAGCAACAGAATCTTGTAAGTCTGAAAGCCCTTCTCCCCTCCTTTAATTTGATTTTCCAGAAAACCAGGGAGGTTGCTTTCTCAGGTGCTTCCCATGCCCCTTTTCCTTCTCTGGGCTGAAATATCTTTTGCATAGTAGTTGTTTAGGCTGCAACTCTTCCTTCTGTCTCCCAAGGTCATTCTGATTAACCATCATACTAAGGAACAGGGTGTCAGGTGCCAGGGAAATCACAAGATTCAGGCAATTCAAATGGTTATAAAGATTTATTGCAAGCTTAAGCTCTCTACAAGAATCTGAACTACTAACAGCCAGAGCAAATTGGAGGTAGATAAGAGTCAAATGAATTCAAGGTGGGCTGGACTTAGATCTCTTATAGGCACGAAGGGACTTGTGACTGATGATGCATTTGACCCCCCCCCCTTGGGCTCAGCCTGGTCATTTGCTGAATTGCACCATCTCATTGAAGGTCTCCATCCTCTAGGATACCCTATCACAGTGTTTCTCAACCTTGACAATTTTAAGGCATGTGGACTTCAACTCCCAGAATTCCACAGCCAGCAATGCTTGCTGTGGAATTCTGGGAGTTGAAGTCCACATGCCTTAAAATTGTCAAGGTTGAGAAACACTGCCCTATCATATTAGAAATGCCCCCAGCCTCTATACCTTTAATAAAGTTTTAAAAAGTTTACTATTCCAGCAAGCTGGTATGGTGTAAAAATTACCTGAGTTAAGTACGTTCAGTTATGTTTTAATTCTTCTGTTAATTGTAAACTACTGTAATGGACAGTCTGTAAAAATTGTATAAACTACTTCTTAACTTTCTTGTATTAACATAATATTTCTGTCAGACTTCTATTTCCATTGGCATGTAGATGACAAGGCTAAATCATAATTCCATAAAGCCAATTTGTTTAAGGGAACTATCTCACTTTTTTTTTTTACAAATTAGTTAAAATGAAAGCAAAATTTCTACAAAGTAATCAACCAGGTACTGTAATAATCTTATCAAAGTAAAAAGCTATTTATTAGTTTATCTTAACCAGTGATACTGTTTGAACAACAGTTTACTGCAGATATTCATCCCATTTATTCAATGCTCTAAAATAATAAGAGTTGCTTCGAACTTCAAGATGGGTGGCATATAAATATGGTAAAGAAATAAATAAGATGATTAAGAGGAAATAGAATGTTTTACTTACCATTGGCAATTCTACAGTCATAGGAGGTGTAGCCTTCAAAACATTGACAGCCCCTTATAGTGCACTGTCCATGGCCATTACAGAGATTTGGACATCTCAATGCTGTGACAATTTTGTGATGGATATCAGGTATCTCATATTCAGTTACATTTTCTAAAATGACCTTTTTTTCACAGACATTTTCCAAAAATGGAATAAGTAATTCTCCCCATTTGAGATCATCCTTAATCTGCACATCTGAAAGACACATTTCAATGGCCACATCAAGTTGGGTGCCAAGAAACCCTTTGCAAGCTGAGCCAATGGCCGAATTTTCAAGCAATGTCTTGCAATGTGTTAAGACCTCAGCTGAGGTCAGGCCGCTTGGAGTTGGCCACGTAGTCTGAACGTTAGGCCACTTCCCTTCAAAATAATCTTCTGGGAAAAAATATGAAAAACTTTCCAAGTCAGTTGGACTTTTGAAAGAGAAAATAGGTGAATATTCCAAAGAGCCTTGCCTTTTTTCTCTTTGGAGATCTTCCCAATTATTAGAGATACTAGCAACACTTTGCTCGTCATATAATAAAGGATCTGCTTTCAGGTGAATGACATAATCTGATGTGACATCTAGATATGGAATTATGGAAGTATAATAAATTTTCTCATCATGGCAATCCAAAAATTGTGGGGGAGAATTCCAAAAAGTATGCAGAGAATTTAAAGGCTGCAAGTATGATTCAGGCTCCGTCTGACATAAACAGAAATTTTCTGTCTTTTGCCATTTCGAGGAGGAGGGAATGTTGTCAAACAGGCTCATTCCTGGAGCTATCCTGATAAAATACAATAGCAGGTAAAACAGTTACAATGCCTGACACATCTCACACTGATACAAATTCTTAGTTTTTGTTTTAAATAAATATGTACCACAATATGCTGAAGTACAAACAATAGGCATATAAAACTAGCAACAAGAGATTATTATTTTTAATGATCAACAACCTCTGACTGCTTTGCACAGCCTGTAATCTGCTAAGCAAATTCTGTTTATTAGCAATCAAGAGGTGCAGGATGCCAAAGACAGATGGAGATTTCCATTGCAACCATTGGGCTTTTCAGCAGTGCAAATGGCAGAGATGAAAACCTTAGTTCCATAGGCCATGCCTTCTTTCTCACATAGCTGATGTTTCAGGCAGAATTTTATCAGAACATAAATTTGGATTTTTTTAAAAAAGAAAAAAACCTTTTTATTACCCTTCAGTCTCCATTTGGGGCAGAGTCAGGTTGACTGGATGGAACTGAGCATTAACTAGCTGGATGCTCTTCCTGATGCCTCTGTGGAGTTTGCAGCAGATATTTTTCCTTCATGCCCTAGGGTACAGGTCGGCAACCTGCTGCTCTGGAGCCGCATGCGGCTCTTTGAGCCTTCCCCTGTGGCTCCCAGCCTCCTCTGCCATTTGCAGAGAGAGACAGAGACAGAGAGAGGCAATTGCGCTTCCCTGTTTCTCTCACTGTCTCTCTCTCTCTCTCTCTCTCTCTCTCTCTCTCTGTGTGTGTTTGTGTTTGTTTGTTTGTGTGTGTGTGTGTGTGTGTGTGTAAAAAAGAGTGCACTCACAGTTTCTCTGAGGAGATGAAAAGCTTATTGGGCGGAGCTCCTCCCTTTGCTGCGTCTCTGCAGGAAGCAGGAAAGAGCTAGCTAGCCCAGCTATGCTGACTCAGGAATTCTGGGAGTTGAAGTCCATGAGTCATAAAAGCCCCTGAGCTTGTTGGAGAACAGCCTGAAGCCAGCTTGCCAGGTGAGCAGCAGATAGGAGAGAGGGAGAGAGGGGGCAGAGAAAGAGAGAAAGAGAGAGGGGGGGAGAGAAAGAGAGGGGGAGAAAGAAAGAGAGAGAGGAAGGAAAGAGAGAGAGAGAAAAAGAAAGAGAGTGGGGGAAGAGGACTGGCAGACCAAGGGCAGATAGAGAGGGAGGGAGAGAGAGAGAGAGAAAGATAGAGAGAGAGACCCTTTTGACATCTAAAATGAAGATAACACCGCATATATCCTTTTTTACACACACACACACACACACACACACACCTATAATAAAGGTAAAAAAGGATATATGCAGTGTTATCTTCATTTTAGATATCAAAAGAGTTTTGCGGCTCCCAGTGTTTTGTTTTCGATGGGAAATTGAGTGCTTTGGGTTGCCTACCCCTGGGCTAGGGGAGAAACATCTACCATACCTAGGATTGAACGTTCCACCTTCTGAGTGGGAGGCGAGCATCTTCACCACTAGGCCACATGTACAAACTCAGCACTGTCCCTTCACCCCATCCACTCACCCTCTTTTTTTTTGGCACTGTACTGTTGGTTGCAAAGCAAATAAAGTAGAATGCATAAGGAGTTGAGTTTTAATCTGAATATTTTTTTACATGAAATATTGCCTCCTCTTGGGTAATTCATGTACAAAGAACTAGAGTACAATTTTGCAATACAACCAAGTACTGTATAGTAATTTATGCTTTAAGAAAATGAAGCCTGGGTGCCCTGCACTTTCTTCCCAACAGATTGATATTACTTAGAGAATCTAAACTTGCCAGATTCTAAGACGTTTATCACAAATCTGCCTCTGATCCGCAACCAGGAAATTTAAAACATTTCTTTGTCATTAAATAGAATGTTATGGTTATGATTAGCATTTTATACAGCAGTTGTGTACACCATTGTAAATTATTATTTGCTGAAATTGATATATTAATAGATCAATAAATTGCAACCAAAAAACATAGCATTTAAAGCTGCTTAGAATTTGTGCTTCTGAAAAAAAGACGAAACACATATTAGGTACTTGAAGAAAAAAGGAGAAAATTTGTTCAAGCAACATAGAACACTTTTTGAGGGACTGAACTCAGTTCCTTTTAAACAGCTGATCAGCAGAATGATCAAGTCTTTTGTTTATTTTATTTTTGGCAGTCAAGTGCAGATAGTGTCAAATTGTATACTGTACATAGCAACAATCTACAATTGTGCTTTTTCTGTGGATTTCTGACATCTTGACACTTGACAGATCAGGTGCATTATCATCCTCACACACTACTTCCTGTTTGACCCACAAGTGGCAAATTTATCAGTTTAGCAGCTTTGACAGGTATTTTCTCTAGCTGGGTACAGTAATAGGAAAGTACAGATTAATGATCTTGGAAATGTTGACACATCCTCCAGTGACTAAGAGGCAAAAATATACATTTCCTTACAATGATTTTCATACACAAATATATGTTGACAAGGTGAAAATGTTGAACTTTATCAACAGGGTTGTAAAATTCATTTGGAAAAGTAACTTCTGATCTTTTTTAAAAAACTGAGTGAAAAAACATTATTGATTATATTGATATAATATGATATTCAAGAGTTCTGAATATCCGACAACGTTTGTCTTTGTGCAGGTTTTTTTTCCTCCCTTAGGAAAGCAACTATCATTATAAGGAATGTGCAGAATTTTACAAAGATAAAGAACATGTTCTGGAAGGAGAAAAACAAGAAATAAGAGTATTTCCCCTTAAATGAGGGTGCTTTCAAACTTTCAAGCAGCAGAGTGAAATTTTGAATATGGTCACATCTTTTATTCTATGTTATTCCTAAACACGCTAGCATTTTCTAAAAAAGAGGAAAGTGTCATTATTTATGTGAACAATATTATGTTTTCCCATCTATCTTCACAACGACCTTCTAAGGCCCTTTGCACGTGTAGATAACATAATGATTCATGATCCATTCCACATCTCTGTGATCTCACAATGCTCTGAAACCTGTAGATCCTGCAAAGCTGAATCAGTCAACAATCAATTTTGCTCTTGTTCCAGAGGAAATATTATGAAGATTTTGAGATGTAAGATCTGCAGGATCTGCATTTTGCAACCTAGATTTCTTAGCTCCTAGGTCTCCCCATTCCCTCCTGTAGAAACAATACTATCATACCTTGCTGACTTCCCTTATCCTCTACAAGAAGCAGATTTGCTGATGCCCCACCCCATTCACATGCCCTATTGGGCTCTTTTTTATCATGATGAAAAACAAATGTGGTGACCGAAGTGGTAGAGGGGAAAGCACCATTGAACTATTTTTTTAAAACACTACCATTGGTCAACATGAGGAAACATTGAGAGAATATAACACAGCTTTGTAGATATTCAGGTGGCATTCCAAACTGCTTTAGATGATTTGAGGGGAAAGGTGTAGCTGCACAGAAGCATATTAAATCAGTTTTCATTTCTTTTTCCATACCTATGACAATTCTAAAACTTATATTGGCTGAAAGGAATGTAACATATCTTCATTAGCAAGATTTGAAAATGATATATTTCACACTTGGAGCCATTCACTGTGTTTCCTTTGAAAGTGCCCTTGGGTGGACTGAACTTAAAATTCACCAAATCCATATTGTACAAATCAGGCCTAATGAATGAACATTTGTATCAAAAGACAGAGTATAGTTAATTTCATTACATTGTTACTCAAGAGCTCCAATTGGATGATGTATCTTCCTTTCTATTTCATTCTAACTCATAACGTATGATGTGAAGGCTTTGCATGTAAAGTTATAAACATAACTTGACAGGTATGCAAGTTGTATACTTTTTGTCTCTCTGTCTCTGTCTCTCTTTTATTGAAGAGTTAATGAATTATGCTTATTTTAGCTTTGAGAGAAAATACAATAATTCTATACTATCAAACTTCAAAGTTCTTTGAGACCCAGTTTGCTCTTGTGGTTAAGGCACCAGATGAAAAAGCATAAGACTGTGAGTTCTAGCCCAGCAGAGTGGTTTTGGATTAGTCACTGTTTCTCAGCCCGACCCACTTCACAAGGAAAGGGGAAATTAAGAAGAGGAAACAGTACTGTATTATGCTTGCCACTTTAAGTATAAAAATAATAAAATGTGATATAAACAAACAAACAAATAAATATAAAAATATGGTTCTACAAGTTAGAAAAAAATATTTCAGTATAATTTTAGGGAGATTAAAAATAGCTCTTTACTCATTTCAAAAGCCTTAGGAATGTATTCCACTATATAGGAATTTACTAGCCAGGAGCCTCAGTTGAGGATTGAAATTCAGTATCCTTTGTGGGAAATTTTATATCAAAATATATTTTATCCCTCATACCATCTCCATCTTCCCTTAAATATGAACAGACTCCACAATGGACTGAAAATCCCATCTTTGCTAGATAATTAACAGTCAAGTTGAAAATAAATTAATCAATAAAAATAGCAAAATGGAGAAAATCTTTTCCTCCAACTTCATCGAACTCCCAAATAAGTTACCCAGACTTAATCCACACATCAAAGAAAAAGGTCTGTAAACACAACTAGAGTTAATTAAAACTCTCAGCAGAACCACATGCTCACCAGAATAAACAACACAGGTGACATGTACTTCTACATGCCCATGCCCTTCAAATATCACACTAGAACCAGCATGTACACACATCCACATCCCTCAAGACCCACATCAAGGACAAGCTCCCTATAAACCTGCCCTTTTGTACATCATTTTCTCTATAGCTACCTCCCACAGGCAAACCTCTTTCTAGAATAAATAAATCTCCTTTCCTCACAACGTGTCTGGATTCCATTTTGATTTGTTATTGTGCAACTGGGGCTTGAGCTGGAACCCCAAATTATTCTTCTGACACTTTGCTGAATTAGCAAATGGGCTGTAGGGATTCAGAACTGTCAGGAACTCCTGTAAGTTATTGTCCATACTTTAAGGTCACTAGGAGAGGCCCTTCTGCACATATTTGCAGCATCAGAAGTGACAAGAAATAAATGGCATGCATTGCATAGCTGAAAAGCAGCATTAATAAAGCTATGATGATCAATTAAATATAAATTCAAGTGTTACCAGGGTGCAAATCTCCCCTTCCTATGTCAGGGAATTGCAGTCTCCTTCCAAATCCCCTTCCTTGTCACCATCTAAACCAGACATGTCCAGCCTGCAGACCATAGACCACATGTGGCCCTTTACATGTAATAATGCAACCCTGCAAGATCATAAACTGTAACATTATTTATAACACACACACACACACACACACACACACACATACATACACACCCTATATTATATATTTTATATGTAGCCCAAGGCACATAAACATCATTAGTTAACGTGGGTCAGGCAAGCCAAAAGGTTGGATACACCTGATCTATATGTTATTCTTCAGCAAAGATAGAGGATCTTAGCCCTATAGTTCTTAGCCTCTTTTTGAATTGAGGTATCCCCCTCCCACTCTCTTTTTCTGCAAAAAAAGAGAGGCAGTGGGATTTTGGATGGAAGAGATATGCAGTGCTTTGGCCAAAGTCTTGGAATTTTATATTCACATAGATTTGTGAAATTGCAACAATATGTCTCCCATCTTTTTCTGAATGTAAATTCTACTAGCATCTAATAGTGGAGATACATATATGCATAAAAAATGCTGAGATATAGGAAGCACTACTTGCAAGTTATCTGGATGAGAATATAAGTGACTCGAACAAAAAATATTCTAGGAAAGGCATTTGGTGACAGACCAATAAAACAAAACAAAACAAAACAAAAAAATTCAGAAAGATGAAAAAGTCAGCTAATTTGATAGACAGCATTTTACATTCCTACCCTGACTGGTAAATACTAATACTTGATTTTGGTAACTAGAAACTCAGGGAGGGATATAAAATGAAGAATGCTGGAATTATAGGTTCCTTGTGTTTTAGGCAGGCAGATCTCCAGAAAGCAACAAAAATATGATAGAGGACAATGCATAAATATTGGAAGCACAATTTTATCTATGTCCATCAATCACAGGAAAATATATTGATAAGTATGTTTGATACCTGAATACTTCATGATTTCTGATTTATGATGACATTTTCTCAAGCATTTGTTAAATACAAGCATGAACTATTGAGTAATTACTAGGAAGAATATATTTCATGCTGAAACTACTTTAATGATCCAAAAGATCCAAGTTTTGATAAATAAATGCAATAAATGATCATATATAAGTGTGCAATTATAGGTAAACTGAATAAATGTTTGATATGATTTTTGCTAATTAGAACATGTAACAGAATTATATTTGGGGGGAGGGCAGAGAGAATGATTTAAAGACATCAGGACTCAAAGAAGACATTAAGCCCTCAGATAAATTTGGTAATCTATTTCAAAAATGTTAAATGTGCTTGGTAAAGTCTAAGCTTAACTTAACTGAAAGAGGCATATAATAGGATAGACATCTTCCATCAAGATTCCAAAGTTCATACTGTAGATTAAAACACATTTTTAGTGATATATTCTGAAGATCCCGGCTTGTACTTTTGTCAAGGCAGGACAGAACTCTTGTGTAGATCACTGCAAAAGCAAGCTATGGAGTTTATATAGACTTCCAACTTTACTATTATATATAGACTTACCAACATTATTATTACTATTATTATTATTATTATTATTATTATTATTATTATTATTATTATTATTATTATTATTATTATTATTATGGTTCATGTTTTTAGTATATCCCTTGCTGCTTAAAATCTTACCTCCAGGCTTCTATGAAGTTCTCCTCAGTTGTGCTATTCTGGTGAGAAAATAAAGAGCTCCCATCAGCCCTGTGGAAGTCATTCTGACTATTTCTGTCAAAAGTGCCACACAAACCTCTGGTCCTGTTAAAATCACTACTCGGTGCCCTTACTGTCAAACTCATTCCCCAGTCATTAAGATCAGCTCGAACAAAGGCTCCTGAATGGAACAAGATCTGGAAAACAGAAAAACCAAGTGAATCGAAACATCATCATCATCATCATCATCACAACAACAACAATAAAGTTGGAAGGGACCTTGGAGTCATCTAGTCCAACCCTCTGCTCAGGCAGGAAACCCTATACCATTTCGGACAAATGGCTGTCCAGTCTCTTCTTAAAAACTTTCAGTGTTGGAGCATTCATCGCTTCTGGGGGCAGGTTGTTCCACGGGTTAATTGTTTTAACTGTCAGGAAGTTTCTCCTTAGTTCTAGGTTGCTTCTCTCATTGATTAGTTTCCATCCGTTGCTTCTTGTCCTGCCTTCAGCGCTTTGGAGAATAGCTTCACTCCCTCTTCTTTGTGGCAACCCCTGAGATATTGGAACACTGCTATCATGTCCCCCCTCGTCCTTCTCTTCATTAAACTAGACATACCCAATTCCAGCAACTGTTCCTTATATGTTTTAGCCTCCAATCTCCTAATTTTTATGGATGTATCCAGTGGTGGGATTCAAACATGTGAACAACTGGTTTTCTATGTGGATGCCGTTTCTGGAAGTCCATTCTGCGCCTGGGCAACAAAAAATTAGCTACCGGTTCTGCCAAAGTGGTGTGAACTGACTGAATCCCATCACTGGATGTATCTATTTCCCATATTTGTTTATTTTATATGGCTGCCCAGTCACTTTCAGTGACTCTGGTCAAGATAAAGAATAAAAAACAATAATACCCTCTCCACTAAAAGTAAAAATAAACAAAGACAGTTTTCCAGCCTTTTTTACTAGCTGGTTAGTAAATTACTAGACATTAAAGCTGTGCAGATTGTACTCATCGGATCCAGATTTCTGGGCTGGATAATCTCTATACAGTAGTAGTGCCCCAATGTACATTTGGATTTTTTTTTCTAGTCTAATTCTCCCATTTTTGACTACCTGAATGAGGCATAGGATAGCTTATTATTATTCCATACATTTTTGACTGATGAAACAATTCAAACCAGTCTTCTGACCCTAACAGTAATATTCAAGTCTATAACAAATCATTGGTGTGCAGAATTAACATCAGTGTGCATTGTTTAAGATACCTAATAGTGAGTGATCAATGGCTAAACAAAGAATAGTAGAACTATACCACTTTGAAGTTTTGAAAAACACCTCATTCTTTGATTTCCATTTACACATTTTGTTCTCCATTAGTAATAGTGTAGAAAATAAAGGTGATATACATACAGTGATTTTTTTTCCTCCATAGGACTTCATGATTTTGACATTTTGTTGTGATGAGGCTCTGATGTTTTGTATTATCACCTGAGATTTGGTTTCCAGAAATTGCCTGTTGCACATGTCAACAATAACAATATCACTATCTTCTAGTGCAACAACAGCACAGTTACAGGCAATGGCAGTATGGTGGCTGTCACAGTCCCACTGACGTACATGCACCTCAAATAGACGGCTAAGGCTCTTGTATAAGACAAAAGTTCCAATCATGTAGTTACTGTAATGCCTAAGCAATCAAAAGGGAGAAGTTACAGAATGCTGTATATCTGTTTTGGTTTGCACATTTTTTACTCTTAACAAGATTCTTTAATTAATTCAGTCTGGTAGTCGATCTCAGAGGGGACAGACAGTAAACATTTCATGAGGAAACACTTTTTCATCACTATCAGTAACCTAAAACGCTCCAATGAAGTTATTAACTAGGAATGTATAAGAATTCATATGAGCTGCTCTGCTGCTATGACAACAGACATGGACAAGGCAGATAAACATCTGACAAAAGTAAAGGGGAATATATCTTCACCTCTATGCCTTAATAAACACATTTTAGTTGTAACTGGGTGTTTTATGGCTTAATATGCTTGAAAGCAAAATCAATGCTCAAATAGTGTGTTTGGTGACTAATTACCAACTTTTGTATGATCTACAATTGCTGAGTGAAGATTTCATAGGAAAAATTAGAGCTTCAACAGAATCCTATTTATCTAGACAGAGAGTCATTATTTAATATACCTCTGCTATAAATTATTGTATTTTCAACTGGTGTATGAGGTATAGGAACTAGAAGCTGTAGCTGCTGACAGAATCCTCTGGTGACTCCTTTACTCTGAAGTTTCCACCAGGTTTGAAGATACTGTAGATGCTACCTAAAACTGACAGAAAACTGAATGGTGCCACAGAATACCATCCATTGTTACTATAACAATGGACTTCCAGTGCCCCCATTGTGCCAGATTCTGCACTTACCTACTGGGACTGCAGATCCAACTCCCTATCCAGAGATGAACTTCAAAATAGTGTGTCTTCTTCAGACCCATAGGATGACCATGTAACAGTTATATACTCAACTTGACCTTACAAATGAGCTTCAGTGTCCCAGAGTGGAACTGATTTGGTTGTTACTGAAGGCCATATCCCATTCTAATAGCTGCTACACTTATACTCAACCACTACTGACAGGTGTTACTACAAATTAATTTTGCACATGACTGTCCAATAAAATTTCATGATCGTACAAAGAATAATTGAGGCAGAGAAATCTTATTCCTTTAGAAGGTTGCAATGTTACCTTAATATAGTTGGTTGGAAATCTCTCCTGCAATTAATGGAACTTTTTGAAATAAATATGCTTTAGATTATTGTTTGCTAGCATGTCATGGTTTAATACTACCGGTTGCTCTGCTGACAAAAGCACCCAAAATAAATCCAAATTCATTCTGAGCTATGAAAAAAGTTTTTATTTCTATCATTTTGAACCAACTTTCATACAAATTGCTAATAAGATTTTTGTTTTAGAAATATTTTATTTTCAAAATAATTTATTGACTATACAGAAAATTTTCCCCTTGGTTTTTACTAGCGGTCTTTTTTTTTTTTTTTTTTTTTGCTTCTTTGGATTCTGCAAAACACTTGGCAAGGGAATATTCATATATCAAAAAATCAATTGGATTTTTTAAAAAATCCACTACAATAAGATAGGCAAGGGAATATTCATATATCAAAAAATCAATTGGATTTTTTAAAAAATCCACTACGTTAAGATAGGCTATGCTAGGCTATGCTAGGCTAAGAAGACAAGATAAGATAAGGTAAGAAAAGGTAAGGTAAGGCATGATAAGGCAAGGCGAGGCGAGGCGAGGCGAGAAGCTTTATTGTCATTTTCTTACTATGAGCACACTGGCATACATTAAAAATGAAATTATGTTGCCTGCTCTCAAAACAAAGTATATATCTACTCATATGCATATATAACACATATATAAACATTTTATACACACACCATACAGACATACCCATACATATATACGTATACATATATACATACACACATATGTATGTATGTATTTATGTGTATATGTGTATATATGTATATATCAGATATAAGACCAAAAACTTGACTCTTGGGTACATTCATAATAAAATCTAGAAATAAGTCGATCACCAAGAGAAATAATAAAAGAGTTTTTAATAACCGAGCTTTCATTGGGATTCATCCAACATCATCAGGGTTCTAAAAGGTAGGCGCTGGGGATATGCTTTTTATAAGATGTTAATAGCCTGCATCCGGCTTCTAGAACATGTTAACGGGCTCAGCTGGTTATGCCGTGCCTTAGATGTTTTACATACGTCATTATGTCCCATTTCCTTCGTCCAGCCATAAGTATTTTTCTCATTAGTCCTGAGGCTGAAAGAGATTCCTTTCCCCTCACATGCTGATTGTCTCCCTCCTCCCTCGCCCCGCTGTACACAAGCCGAGGGGGAAGCTCTCCCTTTCACTCGTCGTTGAGGCCAACCATTATTAATCCGGGTGTGCCATCATCCTTCTTATTCTCCACCTCACTATCCTCAATAGTTGTCTGTCCCATATCATTAATACTACCTTTCCCCCTTCTTGCATGGGTAATGGCACAATGTTGTTCTATGCGTCATAAACCAACCTCCCGTCTGTCTCCACTCATCAGGAAAGAACCCCGTTCTAACTAGCTGGCTGCCAATACAATGTTCGTATTCTGTCCGGGAGTGTTAGGGCTCGTACTAGCAATGTCATGGAGGGACGTCGGCACCACATCTCCCCCCCCCTCCATCGGTCCCACAAGTCATGTCTGCTCCGGCATCCAAGTTGGTTCTTCCAATCTCCCATCGTCGGTGACTTAACGAGTTCATTCCTGACAGTTCGCTGGTTGCAGGGGGTATCCCGATGCAACCTCCAGGGCTCGTCCACCTCCCTCCAACAGGGGCGGGCCACAATACTTCGCTTCCTCACTCTGTCATTCGGGGGAGCTCCGCAGCGCTGATGATCACACACGGGGCGGGTAGGCAGAATCCGTGGGGGGGGGTTGTCCGGCTCAATGTTGGCCCGATCATACTGGGTGTTACAATCCATGGTCTGGAGGTCCATTCTCCTTCGGCGGGACCGAGTTACCAAGCCACATCCATCTATTTCACCACCCCATGGAATTCCGTGGGGTTGTTGGTCCATCATGGTGCAATCATCGTGGTGCAATCTTTTATTATTTCTCTTGGTGATTGACTTATTTCTAGATTTTATTATATATGTATACATATATATGTATGGGTATGTCTGTGTGTGTGTGCGTGTGTGTATAAATGTTTCACTATCCATTTTGAATACATAGCGGAAAGAGGAAACTTGAGAGTTCACTAGGTTGATACTATATGGAACAAAACTATGACTGAATCTAGATGTTCTGCTTTGGACACCACGAAACCTCCTCCCAGATGGTTACAGGAGAATCTACATAATTTCTTGAAAAAATACTCACCGTCCATCAAATGTGATTATGTGTGGATCTGTGAAAGAGTAGCAGTAACCTGCAGGGATGTCTTGAACTGTGACCTAGTTAAAATGAGAAATGGAATTCATATGGTCTTTGAGGTAGGATTCCAGCATTGCTCTTAATATTGACTCACCAAAGTTGGGTTGCATTTGATTACAGGTGAATTCAAATCAGATTTAACATAGTACAAGTATGCTAGATTGTGGTTATTATTAGAATTCCAATTACTTATTTTTGAACTCTGTATTTAAGAAGTAGTGATGGGGAATATAATGCTATGCCTGTACAATATATTTGTTATATGAGTTGCACTGGTTATTGGTAAACTTTTAAGTCTAATTCAAAGCATTAAAGCCCTGCATGCCATAGGGACTAGTGATACAAGAGTCCATCTGTCTCCTGTAGTATCTCCCTGTGCAATCAGTCAAAATTGGCTTGCTTTGTGTACTATAAATTAAGCATTGTTATGTAGCAGGAGCAAGGGAGTGGGCCTTCTTTGCTGCAATATCTGCTTTCTGAGACAGCATCCCCTGGAGATTGGTTTGGACCTCACTATATTAACCTTTATTGTTAACTTAGGATGATTGTGCAAGCTCTTTTTCCAGTTTTTAATTTTGTGAATTCATAAAAAAAATCTTGTGGCTTGCTTTTGCAGTTAGATGGCCTAGAAATTGGATATATAAATGCATAGTTTGAGGAAGTTTGGGGAAGAGGAGGAGGAGGAGGAGGAGGAGGAGGAGGGGGGTGAGGAATAGGTCAAGAGGAAGGGGAGTTCCAAAATTATGGTTGGATGAAGTTAATATGGAGTTAATGAGATCCCAAGATTTAGTGGTATTTCCCTTATTTCCCCCCTTCCCTCATGCCTTTAATTTCTTGCCTTACAATTCTTACTGCTATTTTGCATTCTGGATAACACTGCTTACCTCAAAAAACAACAGTATGGTATGTTTGTATGTATGTGTATAATCTCAAATAAGATGGAATCTGGGGATAAAATAAGGACTCCTTTCAATGCTATTCATTTACTGAACACTGCCTACAAACACTTCTCCTTTCTCCTGAAAGATCTGCGTGATTTTCTTGAGCAGATTTTGAAAGCAAAGGATGGAATGGCTGGTGACACAGAACAAACAGAATTCCTTATAGATAACATCCTAAATACTATTTGCACATTCATTAAGATGAGGAGTTCTGCTCAGGTTATTTTATATCATGATTCATAAAAACTATATTCTTTACTCATGAATAACAAATTGTTTGGTTTGGGTTACAGTCATGAAACTTTCCCCATAACACAAGAGGTAAAGACAATTATTTTCAAATAAATTCTGCTGCATTTCTTCTGAATTTTATGCTGGTATAAGAGGACTTTACTTTGATATATTTGAAATTATGGAACTGTTTGTAGTTTCCTTTTCCAGAACCAAATAAACACTTTATGACTGAAGCACGTGAAATATTTGCAACCTCATCCAATGTCACTGAATCCAAGCAGAACCAAATTGGAGCCAATATAAATTATTGAAATCCAACCCTCATATAAAAATTCTTTCTTTCTCAAAAATGGTTCTTTTTCTAATGATGAAGAAACTGACTTCTGTACATTTTTTAAAATCTCTATTAGGATTGGTTTGTTAATCTTTTAAAAGATTGATTAGTTTCCAAATTTGGAACTAGACAAAAGAATAATAAAGGTAAACATAAACAAAGATGACTGGGAAGGAGTGCTCTGTGTTGTTGTTTCTTTTCTTTTCTTTTTTTTTTTACAACATGCTGTGAAAACCTCTTGGTTGTTGCTTTAGCCTACCTTGACATCCATCGGTTTATAATCACGCCACAGAGATTTACTTGGCTGAAATGGCTTAGCTGTGATATAACTGATAAAGTTTCCATTTTCTACAAAGTCATTCACAGCTTTTACAGCAAGTGTTGCTCTTGCACAGCTGCTTTCTTGGCAGGGCCTTTGTTCCAGATCCACGTGGCATGCTGAAAGGGCTATGTTCGGTCTCCTTTCTAACAAGTTAGCTATAAAAAAAAAAGCATAAAAACATATTGGATAAATTTATAATGTTGTCAAGAAGTTACTAGTTTTTATTTTTCTGTTAGATAAATGATGTTGGATGATCTTCTCTGTGTGGTAAAAATAATTCTTGCTATACAGCACATGATCATTTTGAAACAGAAACAGACTATTATGCAGAAAATGAAAAACATCAATAAAGACCAAATACATCTATCTATCTCAGCAATATGAATTTATCTATTTTAAAATATCTATGTCTATCCCCATACCAAATAGAGCAGGGATGTCAAACTGCTGGCCCACGGGCTGGATGCGTCATGCTAAAACCACGCCCACCCCATTGCCGGCAATGGAAAAAAAGTCACAATACATCACATCACGTCACGTGATGTTGCAAGTTTGACACCCCTGAAATAGAGGTTCCCAAGGATTCACAATACAGTTTACCAAATAAATTAATAAAGTATTTCAATGCACGAGGAGTCCTTGGTTCTCTCTGAGCTTGTTTGCTTTCCCCAACATCCGCAAGAAAACAACCAAGCTCAGAGAGCACCTCATGTCAACCCTATATGTATTGAAATATTCTCCTTTATTATTTCAATACATGAAAATGTTTCCATTTAAACATAGGATTTTATGGTTTCCTATGTAAAGATGATTTCTAGAGCTATATGCCATAGTTCTGGATCCGTGATTTTTAGCTCTATCCATTGGGTAGATGTCCCAGAAAACAGTGGATTCTTCAGTTGCCTCATGCTTAGAGCAAAAAAAGTGAAAACCTATCCCCACTTTCTTTTTTCCAGTCTCTGAGGCTGGTTCTTTCCAGTGTTAAATTAGGGCAAGAGGCAAATCAAGTGAAAGATGCAGATAAAAAAGCCATTTATCTTTGGGCATAGCCATTGAGGAAGAGAATGTGTGAGCTCTTATACCTAAACATATTATTTATTACTTCACAGTAATTAAGGAAAACAGAACTGAGCCACATATTTAGGATCTGAGTTCTAAAACAGAAAATCTATATAGGTATGCTTTATTCAAGTGTGTGTGTGGTGTGTGTGTGTGCGCGCGCGCGTGCATGTGTGCGTGCGTGTTGGCTGGAGCACCGAGTCTACCAAGTACAGGATAAATCAGTCACTTCTGCATTTTGCTCCAATCTAGGAGCATGTTTTGCAGGCAGACGTCACATATTATGAATACTGTAAATTCAAAATTTTCATGGCTGACAAAGAAGATTAATACAACTGCCTAACATGCAAGCTGCCCAGGTTTGAATCCCAGAGGATATGACTAGTTGATGAGAGTTAAAGAGCTTGAAATAGCTATACTAGTTTCCGACTAACTCTTTGTCAGCCACAAAAAAAAAAAAGATTAATCACAAACTAAGTATGAGAAAAAGTTATTTTTCAAAGCTAAACTAACACTAACATAAAGTATCATTACATTGAGATTTTTGGACCCATTTTTTCTATTTCAATGTACATTTCAACCACACCATCTCTATAAAACCTAATATAAAAATTCTATATTAGCTTTCATGAACACTAACTTTTAATGTTAATAAAATGAATAAATTGATTAATTTACTATACCACTCAATGCATGACATTTTTTTCCCTCATCTGTTTGGCATTATGGCTACGGAACATATTTTACTTCTGAAGCATTTTACCCTCCCTCTGCTTCTAGATTCATTACAGGTATAGTGACTTCAGGAAAAATGGACAAAAATGTGGTGGGTTATATGCTAACTGACATAAGGTACTTACTGGAAATCTGAGTACTTAGCTGTAAAGTAATTTTACAGATGTCATCCTGGGCCAAACATATAATAGGAATGGTACTTAAGATTGTCAAAATATGTTCCTTTCCATCCTCTGCAATTTGTAAAGAGTCTGGTACAAACTGGAAATAAAGACAGGTTATCAGTCTTGGGCTAGGCTCATATCAACCCCTAATCTCTTCTCATGGGAAATGGCTTCTTATTTAAAGATGACCTTTTTTTTTTTTTTGGTCTGGGAAGCAGAGCTTTGAAACCATGAAGAGAGGAAGAAGGTGTTATGAATGACAGTAGCTCTTAAGTAAGAAAGACAGTCAAGAAACAGAAACATACTGGGGGACTCAAGAGTAATTCTAAGAGCATCCTAATAGCATCAGTTCAACCATACTAAGATCAGCCTTAGCACCTAACAAGTAAAGTTGATGATCATTTGGAAGAAAAAAGTCTGAAGATAAAATACATTCTTGAAAAATGTTCTTTTCAGCATATTATACCTTTATTCTGTATAGTGCCCTGAATTTATATTGATAGATGATTAGCTAAATAAGTTTCACAGTGATTTCCTACTGAAGATCTTTTTGTTGTATTGTTAGGGGAAAATTGTTTTATTTCTGAAAATTAGAAAGGACTTGAGACATATAAGACTGGGAAGGAGGGAGGAAAATTAAACTAAACTGAACACAGTTAAAATTAGCAGACTTTCTCCCAGGCAATATTCATGTATTGGAGTCAAATATATTTCATGGGATTTTAAAAATAAAATCTATTCCACAGGAACAACTATTTGATCTAAAGTCATATTTCATTGTGGAACATTTTTATTATACTCCAATGCTATCACATTTAAAATGAGGCAGAACAACATGTTCAAGAACATTTGTTTATATATATTTAAAGATATAAAATGTATGTATGTATGTATGTGTGTGTGTATATATATATATATATATATATATATATATATATATATATGTGTGTGTGTGTGTGTGTGTGTGTGTGTGTGTGTGTGTGTGTGTGTAGGTCTTTGGTTATTTGGGTTTTCTCCCACGTAAAATTGGAAGTGTCTTGGCGACGTTTCGACGAAGTCTCATTCGTCATCTTCAGGCTGGTGCTTTCGGCTTCGTGCTTCTAGGAGCAATGTGTGATTGTAGTTGTTTCCTCCTTTTAACTGCCAGTGGGGGTATGAACTTATTGGATGAGAGCTTGGCTGTGCTCTGATTAGCTGGGGGGTTGGTTGTGTTCTGATTGGCTGGGGATTGGCTGTACTCTGATTGGCTGGGGGAGTGTTCTGTTTGGGTGGGGGCTTTGTTGTGCTCAGGTTAGTCTGAGTTGCAGGGGGGTTTAAAATGGTGAACTTCATTGCTATTTTTTGGCTTTGCATTCATGGTCGTGCCTCATCTTCATGGTGGGTGTCAGTTTGCTTCATGTATGGATTGGAGGGGTTTAAAGTGGCTAATGATGCAGCTGTGGTCTGGCTTCTGGTTTGTGGTCGTGCCTCATCATCGGTGTGGCTTTGGGTTTGCTTTTTGTGTGGATGTGTGGTGGTGACATTCTGTGTGGTTTTTGTGAGTGTGGGTCTGGTGTCATTTTTTGTGTTAGGGAGTCGTTTGTCAATAAGGGCGGGTATCCAAATGGCTGGTAAGCGGGAGATATCATCTCGTTTGTTCATGCTGTGTGGGCGTTTTTCTATCTCGATGGCTTCTCTGATTATTCTGTTATTAGAATGTTCAGTTTTGGCGATAGTTCTGGTCTTTTTAAAGTCAATTTCATGTCCTGTGATTTTAAGGTGTTGGACTAGGGAAGAAGTTGGTTCCTCTTTTTTGACTGAGTTCTTATGTTCTTCAATGTGTGCACTGCGTGTATATATATATATACACACACGTATATACATATACCGTATATGCTGGTGTATAAGGCAACTTCCGCAAGCGTTAAACTCGGCGCCAAAGACAGGGGTCATCTTATACACTGAGTCATCTTATACGCCGGAAATACTGGTAGTTTCTGGCGTATAAGACGACGTTCTAGGAATGCGACTCGGCGGCAAAGACGGGGGTCGTCTTATACGCCGGGTCACCTTGTACGCCAGCATATATGGTACATATACACATACATACATACACACACACATACACACACATACATACACTTACACAGAAACATATATATATATATATATATATATATATATATATATGGGTTGTAGATTAAAGAATTAATGATTTTTTTTCTGACATTCCTGTGCCTTTCATTTTCTTTGTCTTTGCATATCAATTTTCACTGGGAAAAAGGTTTGCTGTTCTTTTTTTCTTTGTGCCTTTACTCTTTTGCTTGCTCTTATTGGTATCTTGGCAAGTTAACAAGATTTTGGATCATTGCCTTCACAAGATGAGGTGAAATTGTTATTTTGGGGGCATCCTGAGATTTCTACTAAGCTCTAAACCATTCAGTCAAATTAGCCACTGTAACTGCTTATTAAATAGACATTCACTTAATTTCCAAGTGCTATCTTTTGCTTTTGAACATCTTTAGTAATTACAAAATAATTTTCAGGTATAGTTGGGTAATTGTTTCTTTTTTCTGTTGCAGAAAGGGGAGAAAAACCTTTGAAAAATTCTATTAACTAACAGCATGGAACCGATTGGTTTAGTGCACTGTAGTGCTAGTAGTGAAAAGAAAATGTTAATTAAAATGTGCTGGAGTGTATATTACATTAATTAGCTGGTCATGTTGCTTGTCTGTTATTCTACTTTGAATGTTGAAATGGATGGAAAAGCAATTTACATGAACATGAATATGATGATTTGACCATTCATCAAGACATCTGACTAAAATTATCTATTGACTAAAGCAGGCATGTCAAACTCGCGACATCACGTGATGTCACATGACGTATCAGGACTTTTTCCCCATTGCTGGCAATGGGGTGGGCGCAGTTTCGCATGACGCATCCAGCCCATGGGCCAGCTGTTTGACATTCCTGGACTAAAGTATCAAGTTTTTTCTCTTTCTCATTCTTCCCTAGCATGTTTCTCTCTGTGTTTTAAGACTGTTTTATGCCTTTCTACTTTGTTCATTATTTACAAAAGCAAAATATTACTGATGTATTCTGAATCAAGTTTATGTTGACAACACCATAACTGACTTCTACCATTCTACATCTGCTACTCTGTTTTAATCTTAATGTGGAAGTAAATATAGATATAGTAGCTGTTGATACATAGCAAATAAATATGGCTAACTATAATTCAAAATAATAATACCCACCCTTCCCTCTGACACAGATATAAACATTAATTTTAAAGATGTTAAGCTAAAATGATTTTAAAACAGTGTTATATTTCATGAGTCAATCACGAGACAATAAAATGGGAAAAGTTCAGAGGACAGCATTTATTCACTTTCTTCTCCATCCAATAGGTAAGAAGAATTTTTTATTTGCTGACAATATTTAAATGTAGGAGGAAAACTGTGGAAATGGAATAAGAAACTCCGTATGACCAAGAATAACACATCCCAAATATAGAGCATAACTCTATTTCAAGACATCTTCGAGGCAGATCTGGGGAAACTAGAGGGTAAACAAAAGATTTCATCTATGATGTTTGAGCAGATTATTGCATTTTATCAGGGGAAGATTTATATAATTTTACCCATATAAATAATTTATATAATTTTATATAAAATTATAAAAGATTTATATAATTTTATCCATATAAATAATGCCACATCAGCCAAAGCTGTGATTACACTATTAAGTCTGCAGTCAAAGGCATAATCACACAGATGATTATAAAGCACAGCAATTATTCTGTAAAAGTGTTGGATTTAAAATACATTAAAAGTTGGGAGGTTTTTTTAAATGTTTATCTAATTAAAATTAATATTTTCACTTGTTTCCTATTTCAGAATATTTTATCATTGTGCTGTTGACATTTTATTTATTAGATTTTTATCCTGTCTTTATTACTTTATAAGTAATTCTAGGTGGCAAACCTACATAACACTTCTTCCTCTGATTTTCCCCACAACCACCACCCTGTAGGTAAGCCAGGTTGAGTTATTGGTCCAAGGTCACTCAACCAGTTTTCATGCCTAAAATGGGACTAGAATTCACTGTCTCCTGGCTTTTAGGCCAGTACCTTACCACAAACTGGCTCTCATGACATTTCACGAAGGAGGACACAAAAGAGGGTCTTACAGATTGCACATGAGCCCAGTGATGTACAATAGCTTCCTTGATATAAAAGAGAATTTGGCCCTCATTTTTGTAAATGAATGGTGCCTTTCAGAAAATTCAAAAGATTTGAATGCTAATCTCATGCCAGACCTCATAAATTTGGTCATATTAAAGACACAGGTTATATTGCAGTGTGAATCTGTCCTTATAGCCATATAGCCTTATAGCCATATAATTATATACATATAATTCTGTGCAAATAAATAAATTGCTATGGCAATTTATTTATTTGCACAGAATTATATGTACAGTACCATACTACTCAGGCGAATGAACATGGGAGGATTTTAGATTACATTTCTTTCTACCTAAAATGCTGCAGCTGTTAGTGTTTTTAAAAGACTGATAGATAGAATGATTGATAGAATGGCAGGCAATTTATTCAAACATTTTCTGCCTCAGCACCTAGAAGCACCCTTCTTATAATCACTAAAGCCAATTTTATGGTGTGTTGTCTTGCGAAACAAAATGGCTAATATAGAAATCTCCATGAAGGCTATGCTAGAGAAGTTTATGAAATTAGAAGTTTTGTTGTTACCTTGATTCCAGCGTAGAATCCATCGCTTTGTTCAGGGGAAGAGTGACGATCAGCTGCGTCCCACCTAAAAGCTGTGACAGTGCAAAAGACCTGCAATAAATAAGCCAAACTATTTCAAAACCTTTTTGCCTCTCTCTCTCTCTCTTTTTTTAAATGACAGGCTTATGAAAAATGATAGAAAATGTACTAAGTGATCGTTAGATTACACCTTATAAAACTTATTGTGCTGCCTTTTGTCCTTAGCAATTGTAGACCTCCTTCACAAAAAGGTAATCAGGGCCCTTCCCTGTCAAACTGAGAATGCACAGGGGTGGGCCTCCAAGCGCTAAAAACTAACAGTGAAACTTGTTTGAATAAATATCCATATGTGGCTTTTAAAAGCTGTGGCCAAGCCAGTTATCACTGCACAGAACGCTCAAGAAGTCTCTGACCTTCAGAGCTAGGACATCTGCCGATAGGCCCTAAGATTGGACCAAACAGGTGTGCAGCATTTTTTAAGCTGCAGCACTGCTTTATCATTTTAAGCATCTGGTAACAAAAAATGTTTCTTACAATATCAGCTATATTTTCTCACCCACATGTCACTGATGCTTCTGTGCACTGCTTTTCAGAAAAATAGAACTGGTGATTATGTCACAATGCTATGGGCTCAGATATAGGGAATGGATTATATAGTGGAATCAATAGAGAGAGATGGATTGGCATTTTTAAGACCATCTATTCCCATATAATTGCCCTATGTGCTTAAATCACCAATGGGGCATCTTTTGCAGGTGCCATTACATATATGCTATATTTCTGAACATTTTGCCATTGGAGCTAAGATTGTTACAGTTTATGAGGTTTCTTTTACACAGGTTTTGTTGGAGGTTTTATGCTGCTGATTTTATGATTGCTGGATTGATAGTATTATTTTTCAATGCTTCCAAATTGCCTAGAATCTCCAAAGCTGAACAACTAGTATATTTGTTATTATTTTTCTTTTAAACTGCCCATTTGTGCCACATTTGGATCAATAAATTGGTGGTTTTTTTATAGTCATCAAGGACCTATTTGGCTTGATTTCAAACTCTAGTTGTAACATCTTTGAAAAACAATGTTTTTTGTCTAGATTGCCAAAAAGAAATTTGTAAACTAATTGCAAAAAGTCTGTAACTCAAAGTGCAAAGATTGAAGTATCTTTGAGGTGAGCATCTACATAAAGTGACCTTTTCAGTCTGGAAAGGAAAAAAAGCCAATCAGATTTTTTTATTATTATTATTGTACCAGGAATACAGAATACCAATGTTGTACAATGTACATAAAATTCCAGGAATTGAAATTTATACCTCTAGAAGCTGCACAGACTGTGAAATACTACATTGTATTTCTATGTGTGAAGTTTCTTCCTTTGTAATTATAGATCTCCTCCTCACAATAGACTTACATACATTTTAGTCTTGATAGTACATCACACAATTATTGGGACATGTTTTCTCACAAGCTTCCTGCCTTTAAATATTGGCTCCTGGTGTTAACTAAGCAATCAGGTGTCTCCCTCCCCCTTTATCATTTCAAAAGAAAAGGGGAAATGAAAAAGATACCCACAGGCTATGGAAAGATAACTTTGACTGTGTGATTGAATATTTTATCCCTAAAGCTTCTCAATAAAATAAAATCCTTCTTCTCCCTAAATTTTAACAGTGTTAAAAGAGATTGGTTTATCTAAGCTAAACATATCACTGAGATCCAGAAGTGCTAGGATGGGGAGAACAAAGGCACCTATAGACACCTGGGGGATTGTTTTTGTGATGGAGTTTGACAATTTGGCAATGTGTTTTGCAGCTTTAATTTTTCTGTGGGCTTCGTTGTATAGTCATGATAGGAAAAAAATAGAATTGCATTCTTATTAGAGTGATGGGGGTTGTTTTGGCAGCAATCCCTTGTGGATAAATTTGACAGGTTTGCATGATTTGTTAGAATAATAATTGGAAAAGGCAGTTTAAGCCATTAAGCCCAACTGTCAGGACAGGAATCTAAACTAAGTATCCATAACACATATTCAGCCTCTGCATGCCACAAGAAGGAATGTGTCATGCTTGCTAATGAAGGTTCCCCCCACCCACAACATTCAAGTTGGAATCTGTCTACCAAGTTTCTATGTCACCATTCTGACACAGAATTTTAATTCTGACGCTCTAATGTAGACTGCCTGAAATCCTCTCTTGAAAGGCTAACATTTCTAGTTCCTTCAGGCTCTCTTTATAATACTTGGTTTCTATTCCTTTAATTATTGTTGTTCTTCATGCATATACATGGGAATAGTTCTGGTAGCAACTCACAGAGGAACGTATGATGGGAAAACCAGGCATAGACAATTATAGGAGGAGGTGAGTAAGAATCTAATTCTTGTCTCATTTTCTGCCTGTCATATACAGAGTTCTATGTGGAATAAGCTCACCCATCTTCAAATTATATCCTTGCCCTCCTTGGATGATATGTAGGGCTATAAATGGCATAGATACAGGGTTATGAATGCTTGGGGCTGATGTGTCCTGCCCTTTAGATATTATTTCTTGATCCAGTCATCCTACATGTTTATTAGCCAGTTTCTAACCTACAGTTTCTTGAAAAGGATTTGGAGAAGGTCCTTCAGCAGCTCTTGGATGTGATCAGTTATCTGCATTTAGTTGTATTTCAGGCCTGACCTGGGACTGAGAGTGCATCAATCATTCTTATAGCAGGACTAATAGGGTGGTGATGCACTCCCTCTACGGGCATTCAGTACCCAACATTTACGTCTTCCTTGAGATGTATGCAAGGATTGAGGATTGAATAGAGTTTTGCAAGTGACTCCACTCTTTCCTGAGCCAGTGATTCTGATTAGCTGTCAGGAGACAAGAGGTTGAACCCGTGCACTATGTTGCGGAGTGTCCCAGAGCTTGAATCTCTCCCTGATCCAGTTTAACATTTATATGAGATCACTAATCGGTATGATGAGATCATAAGTTGCTAATACCTAGCTTTATTTCTATACTGTAGGGCAAGCACATAGGATTTTGCCAGGCGGCCCTGAGAGACTAGAAGGGATAAAGTTAATTGAAATGGTTGCCAGTAGGATTTGGGGCCAATTCACACTACTGAAGCTTGCCTGTAAATCCCTATAAAGATTGGACCCTTGCTACCTTTTACAGGTAGAATTTGCCAGACTTATATAAATGAACAGGGAGAGGATACTGAGGTTATCCATTCCACACATGTTGAGTGGCACAAAATGATATTCTCAGCAATTGCCCCTCATTCTGGACCAACATACATTCAAAGTTTAGTGTCATGGTTCCGATAGATGAGACCACCACCTTTTCATCCTTCAGGGAACTGGTAAAGATTTTCTTTAGGGTATCCAGATTTTAATTTGGAATATTTTCTTGCCTTCTCCTTCAGACATTCAGCGATGTGTGTGTGTGTGTGTGTATGTGTGTGTGTGTGTGTGTGTGTGCGTGTGTGCCCACGCACGTGTGTTGTGGGGGAGAGAATAATATTGTACTCCATGTTAGGTAATTTCTGCTATTAAAAAGAACAAATAAAGCTTATCAGAGGAAAGAGAGGGTTTTTGTTTAGCATAATAAGGTTTAGACCGAGCTATCTATAATGATTACAGCAAGTCAAAATAATTAGAATTGGAAATAATGCTTGATTCAGAGAGGCTAGTCTCAAAGTTTGTTTTCATTCCAGCAATCCACATCTCTTGCTATGGAATTTCACTGTGAAAATTCATTTTGAAAAAAATCAGAACTCTTTCTGAAAGCAATATTTAATACATCAGGAATTATTGTACTGCAGTTAACGGAATTAAAAATGTGAGAAAGGGAAATCTCTCTTTTCCTTCATAGTGGAAGCATCTCAAGTAATTGCCTTTCTTGCTAATATATCTACAAAGATAAATCACTATGGAATTTTGTATAAGGAGTTTTTCAGTATTTGTGGGAAGAGTTGCGATCATAATTGAAAATATTGTAACTCATCAGCAAGATGGCCAATGCCAATGCCAAACTAAAAGGCAATTTTACATAAGCCTTTTAAAAAATGCATGCAAAAATGACCAGTTTTTCTTTTTTTGGCACATCCTGCTTTCTTAGTATTACCCACTGCGCACACACTACCTGCTGCAATTTACAGATGGCTGTCCCTCCAGGTATAGAGTGACCTCTGTCAATATCATCTAAATAGATCTTGGGATTGCTACAATTTCAAATCAGATGGAATGGGCTATCTTGAGCATTTACCCAAGGGAAAATAGCATATTACAGATTTATTTATTAAAGCTGCAGTAGTTTTGCTAGCATTTGGCTGTCAACAGAGCTCAAATAGCGTAACTGTATGAAGTTGTGACTTTTCTAAACATTATGGGGAAATGGTATTGGCTATTTACAGATATGCTAACAAAAGTTCAAACTCTTTGGACTAGTAAAACTCAAAGACTCTGGTTAAGGAATGAACATATTGATGGATACTTGATATTGGGGGTGAACAATATTACTAATGAAAATTTAAATGAATGGAAAGTAGTTCAGGTGTGTCAATCATATGGGAACAGAATGTTATTTTTTAAGCGCCTTGTCTTTTTTCTGTAGCTTTTGAGAAATAAGTTGTACAGAAAAGTATGGAGGTACTTGGAAATTATATTGTACAATGACAAAATTGGCTGTCACAATTAGTGACTCAGGATGCCTTCATTTGCAGCACCCACCATGGAAAGGCTGATTTGGATGGATCTTAATCTTAGCTGACCCCTGAAGGTCAAGTAGGATATCCCAAAACTCTGTCAGTTCTGATATTACATCAATCATATTTATATAGTTGGTAAAAATTAAAAGGCAGCAAAAATACTTCACTTGTGTACACATGTACATCTTGCTTTGCTGCATTAAATTACTTTGCATGCAATATTTTGTAAACCTTACAAAAATTGATAAAATGCCAGTTTTATCTCAAAATCATAGAAAGGGAATGACAGGAGAAAGGCAATCTTGTCTATTAGGATGTAAGTAAGATTCAAATTTATTTATGAACTTACATATTTGGATTTTCTTTGCTAAGTTTTTTTAATTGAGTAGACAGAGTAAGTGACAGAATAAATGGCATGGCTCCTCAAGTGTGACTAAGGGACAATTAAGAACTAAGAGCTTCCAAATCTTTTCCCCAAATGAAAAATCTGAAGAAACTATGATAGGCTAGCAGAGGAATAGGAGACCAATTTTAATTTTTCAAGCAAAAACCAGGGCCAAAATTATATGAGGCTTTGAACACATCATCCTCTCTTTTAGGAGCTTCTTTGTTTCTTATCTGTAGTGATCTGAGACCCCAGAACTATTTGTGTTTTTATTAAGTTTTATTTTCACTTAAATACAAAGAATTGTGCTGTAGGTATTTGGCTCAGGTTGACCAAAGTGCTTTTTGGTTATTACAGTGCTGTAAGAGGGTAGAGTTATTTTTATTGAAAATGATCTATTATTACCTATTACCTGTTTTAAAAGATGCAATGCTATGCAGTACAACAAAAACATTTTTTTGATAAATGAACTAGATTGCTTTATACAGTAGTTCTAAAGTTAATAAAATGTACTCAATCCTATTACATTAAAATACATTGCTTCTCGAACAACCATGTTTTACTTCTAGGCCAAATTCAGGCTTGAGATATGAGAGTTAATAAGAACTTTAAAAAGCAGTAAAGAATGATTGTCTTTCTTGACCTGGTCTTCTGAGTTCAAGAAAGCTTTACCGTATCTCCCAATCTGAAATTAATTCCATCCATCTCCACGTAGGAGAATGTCTGCACAGTTGTGTCATGATGAAGCTGTTCTTTCACATTGGATGTAGAAAGTCGTGACCAGATCACTGTATAGCCTATAGCCCAATTTGAAGTTAGACTGCTGAAAGTGCATTTTAGGTAGACCTGGGACCCCAAAAGCTCAGGAGTAACAACTGGGTGTAAAACTGGAATTTGGAATTTCCCTAGGTGGGAAGAAAAGCAGACTGTTATATAATGTACATGAATTAAAAAATAAATAATTCAACACAGTTAAAATTATAAATGAGTCAGCACTATAGAACTGGAAAAAGACATATAAAGCCCCATGTTTTCTGAATGAAAATTAGACATTTATACTATGCTATACTATGAGAACTGAAGAAATCTCCTGGATGAGAAGTAAAATGTCTTAAAGAAAAATCAGAAAGTCCAGTTGCCATTAAAATAAAAGCACTTTTGAGACAACCATGACCTGGATGAATCAGAACTTCCATAGACGTTTATATACTATGCAATTTTTGCAGACAGGTGAAGACTGAATAGTTGCAAGTTGTAACTAAACTGAGTAGTTCAAAGCAACAAGGTAGTAAAAAATGATTAGCAAAGCTTTTCCAATGGTTGCAATCAAAAGAGGAGTTTGCTTAGTAATCTTTCAATATCAACAGGAGAGCACTAAAAAAAATATCCCTACTCAGTTTGAATCACAGTCATGTCCTCAAGGCAGGAGGTCAGCAAACCCATAGGAGATTCTGAAATTGAAAAACTGCAGGCACTTCTAGTATGGGATCCCATCATCAACCTTTTGAATTATCTAAGCCCAAGGACGAAGACTGCAATTAAATGATAGCCCAAAGTTAGATGAACACCCTTTTATAACCTGTGGATTTTTTCCTGCCACAAGGATTTTGAGGTTTCAGAAATATTCTTGAATTCTTTACATTAAAAAACAGCAAAGAATAGGGATGCACTTAACAGCTCTCTTGGTCCTGACAAGGTCTTAATTCCCAAACTTCAAAGAGTCAGAAATCATAATATGTGAAAGTCCTTCAACTATGATAATAACCAAATCTGGAGAGATGTAAAAAAAAAATCCTTTCTCTCCATTAAATAAATTTCTGACCATTCAACTATATAACTGGATATAAAACATAGTTTTGCTGTTATTAACATTCTTGTTTTTATTTTTAAAGTATTTATTTATAGGCCACTTGTTTAAAAAACAACTCTGGGTGACACATGATCCTACAAACATCCATATCAAACTAAACAAAAGATACTGGCAGTCAAGGGCACCAATCAATATACTGCGATGCCCCTTAGAGATGGACTCTACACCCTGGTTTAATGCCCAAATGTACAAGCTGATCTTCAGTACCTTACAAATAGCACTGGCAATAATAGATAAACATTGGTTGCCAAGACTGCATATTTGCTACAAATAAGCATAAGAATAAGCATAATAAACCAGTGTTTGTTTATTTAATACTTAGCTGCATTCCCACTCTACATATGAGCTTTGGCTGGTTTCCTAATTTCCAAAAATTCCTTTGGAAAAATGCAAGGAGAAGGATCACCAATGCATGCATTGGTTCTGCAGATAAAAGATAATTCATATACTGTGTGCAGTTCATGTTATTAAATTACCTTGAATGATGTCTTCTGATTCAGTCCTTTTGGGATCAAAAGAGTTGAGCTGTGATTCTTCAACAATGAAGGAAATAAATCAATTAACATGGCATTGTGAATTGGTGAAGCAAATGCTAAGAGTTTGCTGATACTTCGCTGGACATATTTTGACTTATTGATCTAACAGCTTTCACAATTTTCACGGATTCTCAAGTAAGAAATATGTACCTCAGCATTTCAGTTCTGAAAAGCAGAAGTGGCTTGCTTCTTCTGGAAACTGGGAAATAAGTCTTTTCATCATTATGTATTTTGCAAAGAAACACTTATGTGCAAATATACACATGACTATGCAAAATCAATCCTGTCTGTCTGTCCATCCATCCATCCATCCATCCATTTTTCAAATATTTGGGTGGAATGGGACAATTTGTCATGTCCAACTCACCACAGCCAACTAACTGTGAAACAATTTAACAATTCAATTGAATCATTTAAAATAACTAAAAAAACCATTATTTTTTTGTAATCACATTTCATTTTGTTCCTCCTTTTGCATCCTTTCTTTAACGATTCTATTGTCCCATTTCTTTGATATCATGTAACTCTTGTACCGCAGCAAATTGTCAGGTGGCATGTTGTCCTGCAGTGACTTGGCCACAGCAAGATGGCCGTAGTGAGTTGGCTGTGGTAAGTAGTCATAGTCCCTATCCAGGGATGGTCTGGCTCTCAGAGATCTGTTCCTTCATTATTTCTATATACATATATTATTAAATAAACTGACCCTAATGAAAAGTTGAAAAAAATGAAGTCAACACCAACACCAAAACAAATTCAAAAATAATTTTGACAGTTTTTCTAATGTTCATTTTTTCATCATGTATTTAAAAAAGTACTACATTTATTTTGTTTCCAGTCCCAATCCAAACTTCTGGTTCTTACCACAATAGTCTAAATCAGAGCTTCCCAACCTTTCTGGCTTGGCGGCCTTTAAAGAAAGGGAGGAGGAGGGAAATGAACATGCATGAGGCCCACACATGCATGGGCAAATGGGCATGCGCACAGTGGCAGCACTAGCACGTGTGCAAGTAGGCTGTGCGCACCCACAGTGGCGTGCTGGCAGCCATGTGCACGAACAAATGGACAGCTAGTGCCTAAGCAAATGGGCCGTTGGCATCTGTGCACATGCACAAATGGGCTTCTGGTGCCCGTGTGCAAGCGGGCTGTGTGCATCTGTGGTGGTGTGGTGGCTCACATGCACAAATGGGCCGTTAATGTCCACCTGGTGCTGGTGGCAGTTCTAGTGCCCCCATGCATGTGCAAATGGGGCCACTAGCACCCAAATGGCGATGCTACCATGAAGAGGGGCTCACCAACTATTCCCCCGGCCCGGTGGCTAATAGGTCACAGCCTGGTACCGGACCATGGACCATGAATTGGGGACCCCTGGTCTAAATTACATCTTCTAAGATCAAGAAAGTTTATATCAATATAAATAGAGAAAAATATTTTGTGTAGCAACATCTCAATTATCTGATAATTTGAATAGAGAGATTAAGCCTGCCCAAGGTCCTTTTAATGCAGATAGTAAAAACATTATAAAAATTGTTTTGTCTTTTAATTATTTTATTAGTTTCACTCTCCTGGAAATTTTGAAGGGTTCTTTAAACTCAGCTTCCACTACTGAAATTAATAAAGAAATGTTAAAGAGGCTTAGTAGTATTGAGATCAGTGAGCTTATTAAATAAACATGGTGCCATCCATGCACTTTGCAAAATGTGAAAACACTGTTTCTTGCCTTCTTACAATATAAAATCTGATGCAGAAAAGTCAGAAGAAGAAGGGAAAGAGATAAGTATGCTGCAACATTAAACTGAGTTACAGAAGGCATGGAAGTCAGGAGATTATGCCAAAATCTTGACAGAAAAGGGCATTTTCGAGGAGAGACTTGAACTGAAAAAGAAGTGGTATCACTCAAGTGTTCTGAGAGGCAATTTCAAGCACAAAGGGCAATCAAGGAGAAAAAAAAGTTATTTGAGTAGATAAGAAACTAAATACATTCATAAATATTATATTGTAGCTGTCCACACCAAGAAGGTAGCAGAGATTTACCAACAGAGTGCTTTCGATAATGACTGGGTATGGAATAAAAAGCTATCTACTCTACAACCAGATTTTCTTTGTGTAGATTCCTTGAGATTTAAGTTGTTCTGCCAAATTCACCTATTGCTGCTGATTCTCCTAAGAAAGACTCATTTGTATTATCCTGTAGAAGTGATGGATTTCAAATAACATAACAGTCTCAGTGAGGAATTGCTATCTGCCATTCCCTTTCTTTCCTAAATACAAAATAGAATATCTTTTCTGTACAGAGGTAAGAAATTCCTGATCATAGTAATTTAAAAAAATGTCAACCAAAAGTTATTGTCTTTTGCCTTCACTTAAAAGGAACTTGTTCATTTCCAACAACTATTTCAGTGTTAGACACCATTTAGTAACAAAAACAATACAAAATGTTCAAAAAATTATTTTCACTCCTTAAGTCAAACATGGAAATAAAAAAATTGTGCACAAAGTGTCACTGCACTAACTTTTCCTTGGTAACACACTGCATATTAAAATCTGCCAAAGTTATAACAACTATTCTATGAAAACAGTTTGGGCAGCTGCTGATTTATTACTTTCATGGTGTGCATCTTACAGCTTGACTTGCTAGGTCACCGAGGTGTGTACAGCAATAACAAGACCTTTGAATGTGCAGTAAAAGGAATACGTAGAATACAGTATAAGCGATAAATGTGGAGTTCATGAAACTCACCTTCTGCACAGTAGCCCATGCACCCTTGAGTAGGTTGCAGGAGATAAACAAGGAACTCCCCACAGTGTCTAACTGAGATGGGGATTTGGAAGAGGCAACAGTCTTTAGTGCTTCCAGAAAAGAATTGCCAGGTTGCGCAGGCAGTCAGTGCCTTTCTTTCTCCAGGACGTGGGAGAGAATCTGACTGAAGGGAGAGCCAGATTGGGGCTTGTGTTCCACATTTGTTCATCTGTGGAAAAATAGTATTCAAAATTCAGGAGTAGAGCACTAAACACTATACTTCTTCCAATGAGTTGTGGAAGCAGGCAAGACAGAAGGGGCTGACCTCCAAACGACATTCCCTTGTCAGCTCTGACCAGTGATTCAGCTTTTGCCAGTTAGGTTCAAGCAAAAATTGGATCTGTGGTGGTCTAGCTCTAGCAACATCAGAATGGAATTCTCCTTAGGAGCCCAGTTCAATCAGTTAACAATGAAAAAGCTCTCTGTTTCTCAAAGGCAATCATGCCCTCTCTTCAGTAAACTCTATACATCAGGGGTGTCAAACTGCCGGCCCACAGTCAGACACGTCACTAGGAAACCATGCCCACCCCATTGCCGGCAATGGGGAAAAAGCTCAGATACGTAGCGCGACGTCACGTGATGTTACAAGTTTCACATGTCTGCTATACATGTTTCAAAACAACAGCAACAATGTGAAGAAACCTTTAATGCGGAAAAACTTTTAAACCACAAAAAGGCACACTTATCAAGCCTGTTCTACATTGCTGATATTTCAACACTTTACTAATGCAATATACGGTTGCCTTGACTATAACATGGTTTCAGTGTTGTAAAACTGTATTATTTCTTTTAGTGAGCAAGTATTACTTGTCTTAAATTAGACACTAAAATTCTGTATATAAAATATCGTAAATGATTCCAGCCAGACAACTGGATTAATTAATTTTAAATGTTTTTCAGCTTGTTACCATAATGTAAGATGGCTACTGCTCTAGTTATTTTTCCTCTTTATTTATAGAACACATTTACTCTTATTTTTTGCCTTTTAAAATGATAATCTAAACCATGTTTTCTATGATCCCAGATTAGCCACCCTGTCCTTTATTCATTTAGCTTCTTGTCAATATCAGAATCAATGATAAAATATTATATCAGATTAATGTGATTTCTCAATTGTTTGCTGTAGGCAACAGCAACATCTCAGGAAAGATTTGGGAAAAATGGATTAAAAATTTCTTCTCAAATAATGAAATATTACTATTACTCCCTATAAATAGCTATGACTGATATTGGTTAAAGATTCCTTTAACCTTATATACTGAAAGTTTCTGCAACAGCTAGAAACTTGCACTTTTGGGAAGAAAAGGCTAGAAATCCAATATCAAAATTAGGTAAGATAATTTTGCTACATTCAAATCTACCCTCAGCTCCAGTAGCATGTTGAACAACTCTGGGCTTTATTCTTCATTTTTTCAACCCAGCTTACTTCACAGAATTGTTGTATGGGGGAAAAAGTGTGCTGTCTTGAGCTCCTGGAGAAAATGTGGGTTATACAAGCCATGATTAAGTACCTCTTAGCTTGCTATGATAAGTGAATCCTGCCTCTGTGATGTTTCCTGTCTTCATGAATGACATCTCATTGGAATCTATGCTGCTTTTTGAAAGAAAAATGTTCTGTAAGACCCACACAGCAAATTTTTACCATATCTATTTTACTGCTGTAATCAGTTACACTTGAGCCACTGCTAACTTCTGAGGCATTCAGTCTTTGTGAATAATAATCTTACGCTAGAAAAGAAGATTCTATTGTTTGATGAATATTTCTTCTCAAAAGATGTATAGAAAGTTTCAAACGAGCTTGAAAAAAACCCTGACTAATGGGTTAAAAAAGAAAAGTAAAAAAAATTCTAGCACAAAGTGGGATATATATGGTCTTCTCAGAGCAAAATATACACATGAAAACAGATGGAAGTCGCTCATTTTCAGCTTTCAAAAACTGATTATCAAATATTTCTAGAGTTAACAGTTATCATTGCAAATATAGATAAATAAAATGATGCCCAACTACAATGAAAACAATGAATTTGAGTTCTGTGTAATGTTTGAAAAGAATACAACAGAAGTTATCTTTCATTTGTGCAATTTTGCCGGAGTTCTTAAGGAGTTGCAGCAGCTCTTTTGTAGAGAAAAATAATGGCTCTTGTATATGACAACAGGGTTGGACTGGGGTCTCCTGTAAGTTATGTTTACTTCACTGTAATTCTGTCAGCTAAATGGCATACCAAGAAAGACAAACATTAGTTCATACACACACTGAAAGGCTCCCTGAGCACTGAGAATAAGGAGTTAGGCAAAAATAAATTAATATCTAACAATTTGACATGGTAAATTAATTTCTCGTTATGGCCTTGTTTGAAAAGCAAACCTATTGTTTGACGTTGATGATGCTATAATATTTATTTTAATGGGAAATGGCAAATGTCATTTAAGATTCACGGAGTATTTCTGTGGAAGAGTTTTAGGTCATGAAATATAAACCTTCTCAATATGCTTCATCCATTGGCTCTTGGTGCTGTTGGTATTTAAATATGTCTTTCCTTTTTTACATTTGTTCGTTATCAGTGTGGGGCTTTTGCTATGATGATCCCGCCACTCAAAAATCCCCCACCCTTTTCCAGAAGGAACAATGCTGTTGTCTGTTTTAATGCAATGTGCATAAAATGCATTATGTGCAAAAGGAACCTGAGGTGGTTTAGAATACAAAAACAATTAATTTAACAATTAATAATTCATTATCTCTGTATGCATTTTCTTACAGGTTTGTACTTTCTAGCGCTAAGTGGTGTAATAATCTATGATGGGATGGAAAATGTTCTAATCCTTGATTCGATCTAGTCTGATCCTTGCCTGCCACCTGAGTAGTCTTCTTGTGCCAGGAAAAACATTGTGTACCTCCGGCCCAGAAAATGCTGTATATAATTGTGACTAGATCATAATTGTGACTAGAACTTCTGTCCCTAAGCAATGTGGCCTTTAAGTGAATCAAGCCTGATTTAATGATCTTTTTTTTTTTTTTTTGGAGTTGAATGACTCTGGCTCCCCCAATTGGCTTTACATATTGGAATCCCTTTAGGAAGGTCACACAAGACTGCAGCTGTTGTAAAATACATGCTGGTTGACAAGGGCTTAAATTTTGATTGCATGACTGCAGGGATGCTGTGATGATCATAAGTGCGATGACCAGACATAAGTCACTTTTATCAGCACTGTTGTACCTTTGAATGGTCATTAAACAAATGACCATAAATTGAGGATTACCTGTATGCAGATGATACATACAGTTCTGCTTTTACTCCCAAACACTCTAGTCAGGACTACCTTTGAAGAGTCTAGAACAGGGGTGGGCAACCTTGCCTCTTTTATGACTCGTGGACTTCAACTCCCAGAATTCCTGAGCCAGCATGGCTGGTCTAGAAGCCTATATTAGCTCAGACTATGGCAGCAAGAATACGGCAGTAGAAATGTCATTAGCTTTTATTTCGATTTTTACCTCCTGGCTTTTGATCTGCCTCTTTATTTTCTCATGTTTTAAGCTTTTGAGAATTTTTTTTTACTCATACGCTTTTTTTTTTTTTAAAAAAAAAATCCAAATCAAATTCTTCTTATTTTTTTAAAGACAAGCAAAGAATAAAAATGGTTTTAATACCCCACTTGGTAAAAGTTCACCACTTTTAATGTCATCATTTTGTTTCCCCAATCACTTTCAGGAAAGTGCATCAGCTATATCTCTGGAAATCAAATATACGATTCTGTTAAAGGAAGAATGTATTTCGCGCTGATTTTGAGGGCTTCTTTAAATATATATTCAACTTATTGCATTAAAATCAGTGGAATTTTTAAGTGTTCATCATTAACTTAGACCATGTTCTAAATCAGCGGTTCTCAACCTTTGTGTGACGGCGACCCCCGCCACACGGACGTGCCATGCATGCGCGGCGCGGCGCGCATGCGCCCCCATGCGCGATGCGCCCCCATGCGCGGCATGCATGCGCGGTGGCGCCCCCTGAGGGGAAAAATGGCAGATCGCGTTGTTTGGCGACCCCTGTAAAATGGTCGTTCGACCCCAAATGGGGTCGCGACCCATAGGTTGAGAACCGCTGTTCTAAATAAAGATAGATAGAAAATTGGATTGAGTATTCTAATGCAGTGGTTCTCAACCTTTCTAATGCCGCGACCCCATAATACAGTTCCCCATGTTGTGGTGACCCCCAACCACTTATACATCACCGAGTGCCAGGGGCGTGGCCAAAGAAAAGGGGGGAAAATGGTGGATAGCCTTGTTTGGCGGCCCCCGTGAAATGGTCGTTCGACCCTAAATGGGGTCCCGACCCACAGGTTGAGAACCACTGTTCTAATGTATCAAACTGGTCTGTGGCTATAGTTTCCCTAATAATAATAATAATAATAATAATAATAATAATAATAATAAAAAATAAAGTTGGAAGGGATCTTGGAGGTCATCAAGTCCAACCCCCTGCTCAGGCAGGAAACCCTATACCATTTCGGACAAATGGCTGTCCAGTCTCTTCTTAAAAACTTCCAGTGTTGGAGCATTCACCACTTCTGGAGGCAGGTTGTTCCACTGGTTAATTGTTCTGTCAGGAAGTTTCTAGATTGCTTCTCTCCTTGATTAGTTTCCATCCATTGCTTCTTGTCCTGCCTTCAGATGCTTTGGAGAATAGCTTGACTCCCTCTTCTTTGTGGCAGCTCCTGAGATATTGGAACACTGCTATCATGTCCCCCCTCGTCCTTCTCTTCATTAAACTAGACATACCCATTTCCAGCAACCGTTCCTTATATATTTTAGCCTCCAGTCCCCTAATCATCTTTGTTGCTCTTCTCTGTATTCTTTCTAGAGTCTCACATCTTTTTTACATCGTGGTGACCAAAACTGAATGCAGTATTCCAAGTGTGGCCTTACCAAGGCATTGTAAAGTGGTATTAATACTTCATGTGATCTTGATTCTATCCTTCTGTTAATGCAGCCCAGCACTGTGTTGGCTTTTTTGGTAGCTGCAGCACACTGCTTGTCAGAAAGTCGCAAAAGGTGATCACATGACTCAGGGAACATAGCAAAGCTCATAAATAGGAACCAGTTGCCAAACATCTGAATTTTGATCACGTGATCATGCGGATGCTACAAAGGTCATAAGTGTGAAAAACAGTCATAAGTCACTTTTTTCAGTGCCGTTGCAACTTTGAATGGTCACTGAATGAACTGTTGTAAGTAAAGGACTACCTGTAATAATTTTGTTTAACAAACCTTTGTTGAAGCATTTTCTCTCCAGAGATCAGCAGGGTCCAACTCTGCTGGCCTATTGTGAGGCACTAAAGACCTAGTCCTGGACCTGGTATCCTAAGTGTACAAAAGCTGTACTAATACACTGTAGTAAGTGTATTAAAAAGCTGTAATCCTAGTGATATTAGTGTTGTTGACTGTGTAGTTTTTCTTGACTGCTATGGATTTTAATTTTTGCATTTAATTTTTGCATCTGTGCTATTGTTGATATCCTGTTTGTTCTTGTTTGCCACCCAGAATCCCTTGTTGAGATGGGTGGCTTTACAAATCAATTACATAAATAAAAAATAAATTAGTTTCTAATATTAGAAGCTAATGTGTATTTAGCTAAAATTCAGCTAAAATGTTTTTAATGGAATCTAAAATCCCATTGTCTAGCCTATTTCTCACTGTTCATTTTCATATTTTGCTGATATGCTTAATCTAGGCAGCATTACTGTAGTATAGATATATACCACTCATAGTTAATCTATCCAATTATTTGATGGACAAATATCACATTTTTTTTAAAAAAGTGGAAGAGCTGCCCATTTCAATTAAATGATAAACATACTAGCATTTGAGTTATCTACTACATTTGACTTATCTATTTTATCCTGTTTATTCAGGATTTAGATAATCAAATGACTTATAGGCTACTGTTGATTGAATATTCACGGATTGAATTTCCTAATCATATGGGGAGAAATCATGCACTGGTTTATTTATGGTCTGCGTAGATACTGTATGTTATTAAATATAAGTAAAAGTTCATGTGTGAATCTCTCACTTACATTTATTTTCCTGGTTGATAGTGACAGGCTGTTTAGAGCCTCACATATTAAATGTTCCATTTAAATTAACTGAAAAGTAAAAAATATCTCAGTTTTGGTATCACATGTCCTGAGCATATGCCATATCGGTTAATGAAAGTTTCAATATATTTCATTCATTTAGTTTTCCTGTAAATGTTAGTGAAATCATGATGATGATCATCATCATCATTTTAGCCATTGTCTATCCACTGCAGGATGAAGGCCTCTTCTGCATGTTTCCAACCAATACATTCCTGAGCTTCCTTTTGCCAATTGGGCCCTCAATACTTATCCATCTTGTTTTAGGTCTCTTTCGTGGATGCTTTTTATCAAGTGGGATCCATTCTATGACTGCCTTGGTCCACCTGCCATCGGTCCTTCATGCTATGGGACCAGCCCATTTACATTTCAATTCCTAGTTCATATTAATACATATTGAAATATGAGGTTGCAAAGTTTGAAAAGGCTTGAAAATGTATGGCAGATTTCACATCTGGAGTAGTTGATTAATATAATTTAAATGAGATGTTATTAACTCTGCTGCATATATTTGGTTCAGCTCTAATGGATTTACTCTTATTGAGTTAAGTAGCAATTAGCAACTAAAATACATACATTTTTTTCTGATAACACATAGATCCTAATGCCATTGCACCACAAGGTATTTCTGAATGAAGAAAGATTCTTAATAGTAGAAGTGAAACAATCACTGCATTCACACTGCCTTTAATATAGTCACTGAGAGTAAAAAAATAAATATGAAAAAATAAATATGAAATATTTATAAACATAAAACAATCATGAATGCATCAGACAGAGATCATGTGTATGTCATGAGTAAGCAAGCTTATATACACGTTCTTATGACATATCTGAAATCATATGAAGCCCAGTTCATACAGTATATCTGTACATTTGTATATGTAATATTTAAATAAGTGGAAACCCATCTGGATCACATAGTAGCCTATATATCTTGTTGCAAAGAATCATAACAGGAATCACAGTTAGTAAGTATATAAATCACCTTTTACTCTCCAGCAGTGCTTCCATTTACTAACAAATTGTGGTCTTTGTTAATCATAGGGATAACTGGTTAACTATACCTTGAAATATAGTGGGATATACACACAGTCAACAAATTGATAGTGTTAATCAGGCCATTTTGATCTTTTCTAGAAGGAAGCTATTAAATGTTAGATTAGAGTTTAAATATTTTTGAGGTCACAAGAGCTACGCAGATGGATCCAAATTCAGAGTGACTGCTTTTTAAATAAGCTTTATTGTTTTATTTTTTTTTTAATCAGAACTTCCTTATCTCAGTTTGAATCCTATTTTAATGTTGTGGTTTAAATGAAGACATTTTTTAAGTGAGGTGGTGCTTTGAATTAGAAAGTTATTATTTCTTTTGAATTACAAAGTTATCTATAAAAGAAGCAAAGTAATATATTATTTATTTTGAATCAAGAACTTATCCATCAAAGAAGCAAAACCTCAAAGGTGCTATAACCTTTAAGTCACTGATCAGAGCTACTGAAGATTTTCCGTCAAGCAAATGCCCAATATATTTTGAATTACCTATTTCCCAGCAGCAGATAATGCATTATTTAAAAACTTCCTGTAAAAAAAAAATGAAAATAAAAAATAGGTTCTTGAATTGCTTCACACTTGCCACTTAATCCAACCACATATTTCATATGACTCAAAACATGTCAGCAGTGGCTTTGAGCTATAATACAGTAGAAGTGTTGAACTATTAATAATATTTCAGCCTGTGAGATGAATTTTTTGAGCTTCAGAAAGCATGAGGTGAATTCATTTGCATATAAAAAGAAATAAATTTGATTAGATCTGTATATCAAGCTGCTCCCTGGATGAGGAAATTCCTTTGTGCTCCTAATCATACATTGTTCTCTTTTAATGTACCTTACCCACTAATTAAGATAGAAGAGTGCATCTGAGGCAAGATGGTGCCACTCAAGTACTCAAAAAATCAGTTGTTTGAGGGTCTGTTAACGCAGAAATCCTAAATATTATAGGAGAGGATTAAGGATTCTGGGAGTTGATGGGCATGTTTGCAGGGCTGCAAGCTCAAATGTTTGGGAGAACCTGGGTTTATGAAAGACTTATTGAGAGAGCACATTTCATTCCATTTCATTTTATCTCACTTACTTCGATACACCTAGTTGGCATTTCTGCAGGCTTGTTTTCAATCATGAAGCGGTACCAGCCTTGTGGAAGGGAATGATCACAAATCATGTCCTGAATGGCTTTTTCCTGCAATTCCAGAGAATCAAAATTGATGCTACGATAGGCATGATGGAGAATACGATGTCCTTCTGGAAGGCATTCTGGAGCTAAGGGCAGAAAAGGAAGAGAATAGAAGTATCATAACTGTCAATAAGAATCAATACATTTATCGTATCTGTAGCTTTATGCTCACATTAAATCACAGCTCAGTATGAATGTTTGCACTCATTTTTCATATTCCAAAATAGGGATGGTTGAAAATTTCATTCAGTTTGATTTTTTACAAAAAAAATTCCAACGGGTATATGTTTCTTCTTTCAAGGAATAGAAAGAATCGGTGATTTTTTTTTAATGAATATATGAATTGAAGGGAGAAACAAAAAGGAAAGATGACTCCATCTTAAGAGTTTGGAGGACCTGAAACTTCAAGTGGAGCCACTCTTTAATTTTTTAAATAAGTTTCATTCAATGGAACGGAAAATATAAATACTTTTCAAAGACAAGACAAATTCTGTAAAATTTTCAGTTATGACATCTGAGGAATTTGAACCTCCATATTTATTAGGGTTCTCTAGGAGTCTGACTCCACTTTCATTGTACAATCATTTCTCAAACTAATCTGGGGTCTCCCTTGGTTCCAATATGAAAGCTCTGCTTGCAGGTCCCATGAGGCATGTCAGTCACCACTTTCTATTGTTGTTGTTAATTGCGAAGTCGTGTCCGACCCATCGCGACCCCATGGACAACGTTCCTCCAGGTCTTCCTGTCCTCTACCATCTTCTGGAGTCCATTTAAGTTCACACCTACTGCTTCAGTGACTCCATCCAGCCATCTCATTCTCTGTCGTCCCTTCTTCTATTGCCCTCAATCTTTCCCAGCATTAGGCCCTTCTCCAGTGAGTCCTTCCTTCTCATTAGGTGGCCAAAGTATTTGAGTTTCAACTTCAGGATCTGGCCTTCTAAAGAGCAGTCAGGGTTGATCTCGTCTAGGACTGACCGGTTTGAACGCCTTGCAGTCCAAGGGACTCGCAGGAGTCTTCTCCAGCACCATAGTTCAAAGGCCTCAATTCTTTGGCGCTCAGCCTTTCTTATGGTCCAACTTTCACAGCCATACATTGCAACTGGGAAAACATGGCCTGGACTATACGCACTTTTGTTGGCAGGGTGATGTCTCTGCTTTTTAGAATGCTGTCTAGATTTGCCATAGCTTTCCTCACCAGGAGCAAGCGTCTTTTAATTTCTTGGCTGCAGTCCCCATCTGAGGTGATCTTTGAGCCCAGAGAAATAAAATCTGTCACTACCTCCATTTCTTCCCCATCTATTTGCCAGGAATTGAGAGGGCCGGATGCCATGATTTTGGTTTTCTTAATGTTGAGTTTCAAGCCAACTTTTGCACTCTCCTTCTTCACCAGCATCAAGAGGCTCTTTATTCCTCTTCACTTTCTGCCATTAGAGTGGTATCATCTGCATATCTTAGGTTGTTGATATTTCTCCCGGCAATCTTAATTCCAACTTTTGATTCATCTAGCCCTGCCTTTCTCATGATGTGCTCTGCATATAAGTTAAATAGGCAGGGCTACAGTATACAGCCTTGCCGGACTCCTTTTCCAATTTTGAACCAATCAGTGGTTCCGTGTCCAGTTCTCACTGTTGCTTCTTGACCCGCATATAAGTTTCTCAAGAGACAAATGAAATGGTCTGGTACTCCCATCTCTTTAAGAACTTGCCACAATTTGTTGTGATCCACACAATCAAAGGCTTTAGCATAGTCAATGAAGCAGAAGTAGATGTTTTTCTGGAACTCCCTAGCTTTCTCCATGATCCAGTGTATGTTGGCAATTTGATCTCTAGTTCCTCTGCCTCTTCGAAATCCTGCCTGTACTTCTGGTATTTCTCGATCTACATACTGCTGGAGTCTAGCTTGTAGGATTTTAAGCATAACTTTACTAGCATGTGAAATGAGTGCAATGTTGCGATAGTTTGAACATTCTTTGGCGTTGCCTTTTTTTGGAATTGGAATGTAAACTGACCTTTTCCAATCCTGTGGCTACTGTTGAGTTTTCCAAATTTGCTGGTAAATTGAGTGTAGCACTTTTACTGCATCGTCTTTTAAGATTTTGAATAGCTCAGCTGGAATACTGTCACCTCCACTAGCTTTGTTGTTGCTCAGATTTTCTAAGGCCCATTTCACTTCACATTCTAGGATGTCTGGTTCGAGGTCAGTGACCATCTCATTGTGGTTATCTGGGATGTTAAGCTCATTCTTGTACAGTTCTTCTGTCTAGTTTTGCCATCTCTTCTTAATCTCTTCTGCCTCTGTTAGGTCTCTGCCATTTTGGTCCTTTATCATGCCCATCTTTGCATGAAACATTCCCTTCATATCTCCAATTTTCTTGAAGAGATCTCTGGTCCTCCCTATTCTGTTGTTTTCTTCTATTTCTTTGCACTGTTCATTTAAGAAGGCATTCTTATCTCTTCTAGCTATTCTCTGGAATTCTGCATTCAATTGGGTGTATCTTTTTCTTTCTCCCTGGCCTTTCGCTTCCCTTCTTTCCTCAGCTATTTGCAAAGCTTCCTCAGACAGCCCTTTTGCTTTCTTGCATTTCTTTTTCTTTGGGATGGTTTTAGTTGCTACCTCTTGTACAATATTGCAAACTTCCATCCATAGTTCTTCAGGCACTCTGTCTATCAGATCTAATTCCTTAAATATATTTGTCACCTCTACTGTATATTCATCAGGAATATGATTTAGTTCATACCTGAGTGGCCTAGTGCTTTTCCCTACTTTTTTCAATTTAAGCCTAAATTTTGCAACGAGAAGCTCATGATCTGAGCCACAGTCAGCTCCTGGTCTTGTTTTTACTGACTGTAAAGAGCTTCTCCATCTTTGGCTGCAGAGCACATAGTCAATCTGATTTCTATGTTGACCGTCTGGTGATGTCCATGTGTAGAGCCGTCTCTTGGGTTGTTGGAAAAGAGTGTTTGTTATGACCATCGTATTCTCTTGACAAAATTCTATTAGCCTGTGCCCTGCTTCATTTTGTATTCCAAGGCCAAACTTGCCTGTTATTCCTGTTATCTTTTGGCTTCCTACCTTAGCATTCCAATCCCCCATGATGATAAGGACATCATTTTTGGGTGTTAATTCTATAAGGTGCTGTAGGGCTTCATAAAACTGGTCAATTTCATCCTCTTCAGCACCAGTGGTTGGGGCATAGATTTGGACTATTGTGATATTGAATGGTTTGCCTATTAGCTTGTGCCCCCCAAAAAATCTCAAAACACTGAAAAGTTCTAGCGATTGAAGAAAACAAACAAATATTTTTCAAAGGGCAATAAAACTTTGTAAATGGTAGATTCCAATGTAGTAGGATAGTTAAGATCTTGAACTAGGACCACTTTGTGTTACTGCACGATTTTTGGCTAGTCACTCTCTCTCAGATCAGCCTACCTCACAGGACTGTTGTGGTAGGGAAAAATAGGAGGCAGCACTATACATAGTGCCTGGTGCAGGATATATGCTGCCTTTAGCTCTAGTGTACCCGAATGAAATGTGCCATATAAATCTAAAGAATCATCATGATCTTTTATTCTTTTTTTCCCTTGTGGAATCCTAATCTTTCACCATTATGTGTTGAAAATAGCAACTTTGATATTGCTGTTATGGATAAATGATAAACCTGTTTGCTACCTTTTTTTTAGCTTTGAGGTACACTAGATATAATGTAAGAGAAAGTACAACTGCCTAAATGAATTGTGACAAATAAAGATAATAAATGATATTAATTCAATTATGTTCTTGATGGTAAACAATCTCCTCCTCCTCCTCCCTCATTGATTCCTAAACTTTAATCACTATATTAAACAACGTCATACTTTCCATGCTGAGAATGCCTTTTACAACATGCCAAAACAGAAGCATGAGAATCCCATTGGATCTCTCCCTCTCTCTCCCTCCCTCTCTCTGCTGCACCTTCATGGATGCCACTAGATTTAAATGTATGATAAGCAGCAGGTTCTTTTCTGAATCTAAAGGCTGTTCTGTTTTGTTTGTTTTTAAGAAACATAACTGACACAAGATGGACCAGGCTTGTTTCATATAAATTCTGAAAATTGCTAGGGGACTGCTTTAAAATAGGCCTTTTGTTGATCAAAAACAAGTCTAAGAAATGCTGATTTCAGGCATATTTTCTATGATGCAACATAAACACCACAAGGCATTTTCTTGATATATTATATAAAAGAGAAAGGGAAAAAATGAGCTGTGAAAACAATGTATATGATTAAATGTATATAGCTAATGTGAGACAGAAAGACTAAATCATGCTTGTGCAGAGAATCGTGCTTCTTCCGAAGTCTGCTTACTATAGCATACTTACTATAGGAAGATGGAAGATAGAATCATGAAGCAAAAACACAGCGAATTAAAGGATTCCTCTAGTGCCTGAACTGTTTGGAGGCTAAGAATTCACCTAAAATTTAAATCTGAAATAGTCTGCGACACCACAAAAACAGAATGCAAGCAGTACTCTCCTAAAGTGATTCAAACCAAATTAGGGCCATCTAGGAGGTCTCACAAATTATTCAATACTTTTGAACATTGCAGAGAGGCAAATGCTACATCTGCTAAAAGCAATACTGATCTTTTTTTGTTGCTGTTGTTATTTTTTCAGAAGACTGTCAGATCTGTAGTGGAATTTAACCAGTCAACCAATAGGCAGGTAGGTAGGTAGGTAGGTAGGTAAGTAGGTGGGTGTGGTTTGTGGAAGCAACGGTACCAGAATCTCTCACAACCAAAAGGGAATTGAAAGGCAAGAGAACAGATCAGGATCAGATGAAAGATAACAGTCCCACAGGAAACCCACAGATCCAGTTGGAGACACAGATTTTCCAATGTCAAATGCATTCATTCAGGTAACTTGTCCCAAGTATATCAATACAATTTACTATTTCCATTGTTTCCTTGATTTTCCTTGTTTCTAGGTGATATTTCTAGGTGGTCCTCTTATTTTTCAACTTTTCTTTCATCTGTTCTAGCTTGCTTGCATCTTATTTTCAAACCTGATTTTCCATTTTGGTGGTACACCGTTTGCTTTTTTCTTGTTTAC